AGCAACCCTGGAGTGGGAACTGGAGCAGGACTACCTAGATCTCTTCCACTCCATTGGGAAGACTCAGCAGGACAGCAAGGTGACAGACCCAGATCCAGACCCCTTCAGCTGGGAAGATATTGTAGAGCTTTACTGGGAGGAACCCCAGGCGGAGATGGGACTGAGGTCTCTTCACCGGCCCTACAGGGATGCTGGGCAGTCAGCCCAGATCCCCAGTGGCAGATTGATTTGCAGGGAATAGAGAGCCATGTCTCCTTTCCCCAGCGGCAGTGTGAAGTGCAGGGAGTGGAGAGCATCGTCTCCCCTCCCCAGCGGCAGTGTACCTTGCAGGGAGAGCAGAGCAGCGTCCTCCCTTCCCAGCGGCAAGGTGAGCTACAGGGATGCTGGGCGGTCGGCTCAGATCCCCAGCAGCAGTGTGATATACAGGGAATTGGGAGCCCAGTCTCCATTCCCCAGCGGCAGGCTGAGTTACAGGGGGCAGAGACAAGTGGTCCTGTCCCCCAGTGGCAGTGTACCTTGCAGGAAGAGGAGAGCAGCGTCCTCCCTTCCCAGTGGCAGGGTGAACTACAGGGATGCTGGGCAGTCGGCTCAGATCCCCAGCGGCAGTGTGATATGCAGGGAATTGGGAGCCTAGTCTCCATTCCCCAGCGGGAGATATTGCAGGGAATTGGGAGCCCAGTCTCCATTCCCCAGCGGCAGAGTGTCCTACCGGGAATAGAGAGCCCAGTCTCCTTTCCCCAGCAGTAGGACTCTGTATTGGGAGCAGAGACAGTCGGTCTCCCTCCCCCGCGGCTGGAAGTATGTATGGGAGAGGAGCTGGTTACCCCCTCTCCCCAGCAGCAGCTTAATGTACCAGGGGGAGACAGTAAGCCCCACAACTGTGCAGATGGGACCGTGGTCTCTGCACATACAGCACAGGGGGTAGGGACGGTCGGTCCTGCCCCCCAGCGACAGGGCTGTTTAGCCAAAGGAGAGACAGTCGGTCTCCAGCAGCAGGGCTGTGTGTCTAAAGGGGAGACAGTCGGTCTCCAGCAGTAGGGCGGTGTGTCTAAAGGGGAGACAGTCGGTCTCCACCAGTAGGGCGGTGTGTCTAAAGGGGAGACAGTCAGTCTCCAGCAGCAGGGCTGTGTGTCTAAAGGGGAGACAGTCGGTCTCCAGCAGCAGGGCTGTGTGTCTAAAGGGGAGACAGTCAGTCTCCAGCAGCAGGGCTGTGTGTCTAAAGGGGAGACAGTCGGTCTCCCCCTCCAACAACCAGGCTTCAACCAGGCTACCTTCCCAGTAGCGCTGGCACCAGGGCAGAGTACCGCTGGTCTCTGCCCACTCAGCAACCCACCAAGTCAGCGTACCCGTACCCAGCACAGCCATGGTGAGGCACCTGGACATGGACAAGCTTCTCCTCTACCCAGGTGTAGTAACCGTTTATTGTGGGTAGGCTGTGCTGTTGATTGTGTTTTGTGGGTGGGCTGCTGGACTAACAAGGGCACTGACCGGCAGGAGGTCAGATACCCTGTTAGTCTGTTTGGAAAAGGGGAGAGATGTGACGAGACCAATCTCACCACTGTGCATTGGAGGAGCCTGGTTGCCTGCCTGCTGCCTTTTGACTATGGACTGGCATTTAAATACCCTATTTTCCTATGCAGAAAGGTCTATTCATGTTTTCTGCCCTGGCGTTCAGTAGATTCTCGGATTTACTGAATGAACTCATATAACCCAGATAGCTATGCCATGGAGCCTATTCACAGAATAAAAGACTTTGGCTCCATGGCAATTGAACTGTATGTGTTTGTGGTCTGAGCGCCATTCAGTATTGTGCGCTCAGACATAAGCTATCTGGGCATATGTTGCATGTCTGTATTTTATGTCATAAATGTAACCTTGTGTATTTTATTGTATTTTACTGTCTTTTTGCTGCCATGTGTTCAATTGAGTTTTGCCTCTGTCTTTGGAGATAATTTGATTACTTCCCAATTATCTCCAGGATAGAAGACTCTGTGGAACCGGTTTTGGGCAGAAAAGCCATGCTTCCTGTGGTCACAAAGGACTACGATCTATCTTTTGAACCACTGGACCAATTTGTATGATTTTGACGTATGTTTGTATTTGGAGTATGCTGATTCTGAAAATGTAAATGTGAATATGATGCATACTTTTCAAGTTATGAATAATGTGGAAAAATTGTATTTCTGTGCTTGTGCTAATTAAATTACCCATTGTGTAAGGTAATTTTATCACAGGCAGAGGGGAGGATTTTTTGTGGGAGTATGGGAGTGTCTGAGTGTATTGTATGTGTTTATTGGTTGTGTTCCAAAACCCTGTGGGTGGTACTACTGTGTAGGAATGTGTACATAAGAACAATAAACCCACAGCTCTGTCTGTTCACTGCTTGACCCTCAACACAGAGCTTTGTCTCGTTCTTGGGGGGATTTATTGAATGCTGTTCCAGTTTGACTGCTAGGAGTGTAAACCTATTCGTATGGTTTTTCCTATTTGACTGTTTACGGCATTCATATGGTTTCCTGTTCGGCGGATTGGTGTTCTGCAGTAGCTGTGCCTGTGTCTCTGGAAGGGAACATCTACTAAACGTCGGTTTAACCCTTTTATGCCCTGGGGTGCCGTTACAGTGTGAATTTGGGCCAAAATAGTTGATCTAGAAGAATTGTTCAATTATGAACTCTGCTACTGTTTTATGGGGTTTTTCTCATATACACTGCTCAAAAAAATAAAGGGAACACAAAAATAACACATCCTAGAACTGAATGAATTAAATATTCTTCTGAAATACTTTATTCTTTACATAGTTGAATGTGCTGACAACAAAATCACACAAAAATTAAAAAATAGAAATCAAATTTTTCAACCCATGGAGGTCTGGATTTGGAGTCACATTCAAAATTAAAGTGGAAAAACACACTACAGGCTGATCCAACTTTGATGTAATGTCCTTAAGTCAAAATGAGGCTCAGTAGTGTGTGTGGCCTCCACGTGCCTGTATGGCCTCCCTACAACGCCTGTGCATGCTCCTGATGAAGTGGCGGATGGTCTCCTGAGGGATCTCCTCCCAGTCCTGGACTAAAGCATCTGCCAACTCCTGGACAGTCTGTGGTGCAACATGACCTTGGTGGATGGAGCAAGACATGATGTCCCAGATGTGCTCAATCTAATTCAGGTCTGGGGAACGGGCAGGCCAGTCCATAGCATCAATGCCTTCGTCTTGCAGGAACTGCTGACACACTCCAGCCACATTGTCTTGCATTAGGAGAAACCCAGGGCCAACCACACCAGCATATGGTCTCACAAGGGGTCTGTGGATCTCATCTCGGTACCTAATGGCAGTCAGGCTACCTCTGGAGAGCACATGGAGGGCTGTGCGGCCCCCCATAGAAATGCCACTCCACACCATTACTGACCCACTGCTAAACCGGTCATGCTGGAGGATGTTGCAGGCAGCGTCTCAAGACTCTGTCACATGTGCTCAGTGTAAACATGCTTTCATCTGTGAAAAGCACAGGGCACCAGTGGCAAATTTGCCAATCTTGGTGTTCTCTGGCAAATGCCAAACGTCCTGCACGGTATTCGGCTGTAAGCACAACCCCCACCTGTGGAAGTCAGGCCCTCATACCACCCTCATGGAGTCTGTTTCTGACCGTTTGAGCAGACACATGCACATTTGTGGCCTGCTGGAGGTCATTTTGCAGGGCTCTAACAGTGCTCCTCCTATTCCTCCTTGCACAAAGGCGGAGGTAGCAGTCCTGCTGCTGGGTTGTTGCTCTCCTAGGCCTCCTCCACGTCTCCTGATGTACTGGCCTGTCTCCTGGTAGCGCCTCCGTGCTCTGGACACTTCGCTGAAAGACACAGCAAACCTTCTTGCCACAGCCCGCATTGATGTGCCATCCTGGATGAGCTGCACTAGCTGAGCCACTTGTGTGGGTTGTAGACTCCGTCTCATGCTACCACTAGAGTGAAAGCACCGCCAGCATTCAAAAGTGACCAAAACATCAGCCAGGAAGCATAGGAACTGAGAAGTGGTCTGTGGTCACCACCTGCAGAACCACTCCTTTATTGGGTGTTGCTAATTGCCTATAATTTCCACCTGTTGTCTATCCCATTTGCACAACAGCATGTGAAATTGTAAAAAAAAAAATATATATATATATAACACAAATAATGGCACTCACCTTTCCTGATGTACTGAATAATAGAAGTGCCCTGGTGCAATCTTGTGCTGATAAATAGTTATACTGAAAAAAGATCCACTCTTCGGGTCTTCCTCAGTATCCTGAGGAATACCCGAACGGGTCGAAACGTTGATCAAACAACCTGTCAACCTTTTACGGATTAAAGACCGTTAATATTCTTAAAAAGACCGAAGAGTGTATCTTTTTTCAGTATAACTAATATATATGAAACAAGGGGGCTGCACTCATCTGAAAATGCATAAATGGGGTGCTGCTGGGGGCCAATTTACACACTACACAAGATCCAGCGCACTCACTTATCCACTAAACAGCAACTTCAAAACTCACAGATTTTATTAGTTTTTTTTAAAAACACTTAATCTAGGCAAAAATATTGGGTCTTTAGTTACAGTATATGATTATAAAAACGGGCCGCAAGAGTAAAATGAAAACGGACAGCAGCTGAAATAGCCTGCCCTTCGGTGGGTCTCCGCTTAGATCTTAAGCTGGTTTTAGCTCATCTTGTGCCATTACAGAGAGAACATATCTGAAGCATATCAGACTGGTCCCACCCCTGTGGACAGTCCAGATCCGAAACGCCAGCAAGTTCCCTCTGCACAAGAGAAACAGCAATCCCAGACCATCGTTTCATGTTAGGCATCATCAGTGAGGCATAGCTGATATCTCTCTAGGCACCGTGAGCAAGGGGTCCACGTCTGGATTACCCTAGGGCTGGCTATTGCAGCTGTTGCCCATACTCTGTATACTCTTGCCCCCCTGATTTTTGCTCAGTATATGATCATACATTGCATAAGCCTGCCACAACGTCAATGTACCCCATCTTTGGCAGGTCCTACTCTCACAGTCTAATGCCTGCTCTTATGAGATTAACCCACTTACTTGGGGAAAAAAAATCCATCTTGGGCTCTCTGCAGTACAAGGCTAAATAGGGCCCTTGGATGAGGCACCTGTGACAGGGAGGGTTACAAAACCAAAGAGTTGGCTATGCCTCCAAAAAAAGAAAACATTTTTAAAAAAGGATGAGCGGCGGGTGGGAACCCTAAATAAATAATGTGGGGACCTAATGTCTCCCCCAGGTCCCCACCCATGAGAGGTGGGGGGGAACCTAATGTCCCCCCAAGGTCTCCATCCATGAGCCGCGGGTGGAGACCCTAAATAAATAAATAATGGGGTGGACCTAATGCCCCCCCAGGTCCCTGCCCATGACCGGCTGGTGGGGACCACAAATAATAAACTGACTAGGGGTCCCCAAGCCCCAAGTCCTTCCACCCTAATAAAAATATCCTGGAGGCGGAGCCTAGCAGCCAGCTGGAACAGACGCATGATCAATGAGCTCCTCATCCACAGCTATTATAAACGCGAGTTTTGCAAAAATAACAAGCTGAAAATCGATCCCAAAGACCCACCAGAGCCATGGGACGGAAAACAAAGAAACAGAAGCCAGACAAGCCCAAATCGGGACCCGATATCTGGGACTTATTCCGCCTGGCACAAGATGCACGAGGGGCCAAGATGGCCGCCAACATGGCAGGGTACTCAGACTCATCAGACGAATTGAGTCTAGATGAGTACACCAGCGGCATGTTCGCCCCGCTGACTCAACCGCCCGCACCCAAAAAGCAACCTGAATCGGTCACTACAGACACGCTGAGAACAATGCTGGGCGACCTGCAGCGGGTGCTCCAGGTGGACGTTGCGCAGCTCCGGGCGGAGGTGACAGGCCTAGTGGGGCGCATTGGAGCCATAGAGGCCCACACAGACAGACAGGCCCAGGAAATGAAGGATCTACGTAACGAGCTACAGGCGCTCAAGAAGCATCAAGCAACTACAGACCATCGATTTGCAGCCCTTGAGGACCAAAGACGCTGCAATAACCTCAAGATTCGAGGTGTCCCAGATAACATCCCGACGGAGGAACTCCCACACCTGATGAGGAGGCTCGCGGGAGCACTACTGAAGCTACAACAACGAAAGCATTGAGCTATGAGGCGATCTTCAGACTCCCTAAACCGAGGAAGGCCCCAGACGCGGCCTCCAGGGATCTGGTGGTGAGGTTCCGATCCAGAACAGACAAAGCGGCTATACTCACGGCCCTACAGGGGAAAATGCCAACCTTACCTTTTTTTCCAACTTGTCTGGAGACACCATGCAATGGCGCAGATCCCTACAGCCGTTCATAACACTCCTGAGGCAAAACGACATCACCTACAGATGGCGCACACCAAGGGCCCTACAGGTCCTGAAAAACAACCTGATTCACACAGTCAAAGACCTACCGGAGGCTGGGCGGCTGCTGCCAACACTTGGCCTGCCAGATAACTCTCTCATGCCAGCAATCCCGGCGGGCGCAAACAGCATAAAGCACTGATGGGACCCATAAAAGATCACGCCATTAGTGCCTCTAACAAGGCAGCCAAACAACCCTGCAATGGCCCCATCCTGAGCGGAGACGCACGGGGCACCACGCGGCTCTACACTATCCCAGGAGGCACGATGACAGCGACTCACAGCCGCTCCTGCTCAACATCAGACTTTATTTTTCTTTGTTTCCAGTTTTCTTTATTCCCATTGACTTTTACTTTTATACCTGGCTGCATTACACTGCTGGACGCTCTAGAGACCGTGCCAAACCTGGGTCCACTCAAGACCATTACGCAGGACTTTTGACGGCTCGGTGAGATGAACTCATAAGGGACTTCACAAGGACTCACGGTAACTCCCTCAGATGCCCCAGTCAATACCCCGCACCCAGAGACTTGCAATCCACCATGCAGGCAAGCCCGTGAGGACCCCCGATGGGGATCACCGTTTATAACAGTTTATAATTGTGTTTTGGACACACACTTGTTTTTCCATGTTAATGTTAATAATGATAGAATGTAACAACACAGAGACAACCCTGACCACACAACACGACATACAAGCCCAAATAGGCACAAAACATGCCATAGGGTACTGGTTTCTACACCTGGTGTACAGGTGGCCCAGCGGGGCACCGTCTAAAATTCATTAGCCCATTTACTTACGTCATGACTTTTCTGGGAGCTGCAAACTGCCCGGCCACTACTGTGAGGCATAACATGCCATCACAAAACCCACATCGACACAGCTAAGCTGAGACAGCTAATCACAACTCACTTAACCCTACCTTGACAGTATAGCGGCCTAGCCGAGCATGAGTTATTCCTCAAAGAACTGACACACAATTTACCTAAGTACTACTTCTAAGCCGACCACTACTACACGGTAACCAATAATATTGCACTAAACACACGGTAGTGTAAGCCACATTAACGCAGTTAACGATACTCACTCACTACTATTCTGACACTAGAAACATTTAGTTATCTTTGTAATCTATAAAAAATATAAAAATGTGCGCACTTCTATGCCACAGTCTAACCTCTGCAATTCATGGAATACGCTGTTGTGGCATGTGTTGCTTATTTGTAATCTGCACAACTAAAATAAAGAATAAAAAAAAAAAATATCCTAACTAACCCCCTCCCCCTAATACCTGTCATTTACTTGTCAGAGCACTCTGAATGGTTGGCTTAAACCAACCAATCAGAGCGCTCTGAGCCTAAATGCAGGGCGTGGGAAGACTTTATAAGTCTTTCCCTGCCCTGCGGAGCTTATTCTGCGCCTTGAACTCGCTGAGTGAAGAAGGATTATTTTTTATTGTCTGGATTTTTTTTTTTTTTTGCTCTCGGGATTTTTTTTAATTTTAACTGTTGCAACGGGTATTATGGATTTTTATTTGGCCTTTTTGGGGGCTGAAGAAAGTAAAGAAGACATCTAATGGTAAGTATGACATTTTATTTTACGAGGTTAGTTTATTGCCCCCACTCACTATTATAAGGGTGAAGGGTAAAGGGGGGGTATTTCTATTTGGGGGAGTGACTAGGGGCTTGGGGATCCCTAGTCACTTTATTATTTGTGGTCCACACCCACCGCACGTTTAGACCAGGGGGGACATTTAGTTTTATATGACAGTGACCAGTCACTGGCTATAACTGGATATAAATGTATTTGGCATAGAAGTGTAAAGAGTACGATAAGAGTACGTGTAAAAAGCAGCTATTTGGGGGGGGGGAGGCACTGACAGCCAAGATGGCCAGACATGCTTTTTGAGAGCTCCAGCTCAGATAAACCTAAAATAACCTCTTACAGTCTGAATCCGTGCAACCAACACTCAGTAATTGAGGAGGCTTAATGCTGAGACGATCAAGAGCAAAAAGATACCAGGCCTAGCGTGAAAGGTGGCCTGGCAGTTGGGGGAGGCGGCCGATCCGCAGACACAAGGTCAGCCGGGAGCGACTACACTTCTGAAACCCCGCAACCACCCCCCATGCCCAAGATGGCCCCCACGATGCAACCTCCACAGTCTCCAGAGTACCCTGAGGTCCTGTAATGGAGACAGCGATTTGAGGCCAAATTCGACAAAATATGTCAAGATGTCTGGAGGCACATACAAGTCAGACCCCAACACCCAGCTCCACCTGCCACACTGGAGAACAAGGAGGAGACAATGACTCCCTGTCTCAGCTTTGAGCAGAAGGATCATCCAGGGATACAGCAGTCTTGCCGCCCAGATGATCAGAAGACCCCCCCCGGCGGCATCCACCTCGCCAACAGAACTACCGGCAGACTCACCAGGCAGCCGAGCGTACTGCAGCACACTACCACCAAACATCCACCTTATCGACTCGCCGCTGCCTTCCTGCATGGCGCACAGGAAGTTCCCACTCACAAGCCGCCCCACCAGATGGCTCACAGCTGGCAACACCAACCACAGGCAATGAGCCCTGGTCAGATCACTGCACTATGTTATTTCTTCGTCGGTACGGAGGAGGAGCGCACAGGCACCTGGGGCTGGTGGCACCCCCACATGCAGAAAGGTGGAGAATCTTCAAGCCGTATAACACTTTTATCTCTGAGAGGGATCGGCTGACCTTGGCATCAAGCTTGCCACACGAGACACCTGCAACAGTACTATCTCCAGCAACAGCAACACCAGTCATGATATTACAGTATCAGATGAGCATATTTCTATCAGCTTGTTACCTTGTGTCTGTGTTATGTTTAGCCTTATATATTATTTGTGAAGGCGCAACCTCTCTGGGTGGTCCTTGAAGCCTAGCGGCACTAATACCCAAAGTTTTTGCCTTGCCAGTTAAAGCCCAGTGTTGATTCCTCACCCTGGCAAATATTTTTCAACCCCTCTTTTAAACTGCAATGATCATAATTTATACCACAGTGTTTCTAATAGTATTTGATCATTTATCATGTCTAGATACACACATGTACCTAGCTAAATTGTCTCTGACCAATGATTAGACACTCTGGCCCCCCAGGTTTGGCGAGCTGCCACTAGTGGGCGCTGGTTGAACAGCCTCAAGCGACGGCTACAAACCGCCTAATACACGGCTTACCCCATTACTTAATTTGCCCAACCTACTACCCAGGTATACCCACAGAGTCCGGCAATAAGACTCTCAGCCAGTCAACCTACAGATCCATGCTATGTACCATGTTATATTGCAATGTTTGTTACCAGTTTCGAGGGGGCTGCCTCTCGTTGCCATAAACCTCAAAACCCAGCTCTAGAATTAATCTTAATTATAGTTCAGTATGTTCTCTTCCCTTCTCAGCTTAGAAATGCCAAGGTCAGCCCACAAGTAATATTCTCTATAAGCTTATCGGCTCATCACCAACTGACATACCCTGTACCAGCATGTTTATTACTCAAAAAAATGGGAAAAAAAACGTTTTGTTTAGCTTGCTTACCCTTACTATAAAATGTGAATTCTTTCCTAGGTGCCATGAAAATGTACCATATGTATTCCCCTCAAATGCTTGTTTATGCTGTTGTGGCAAATAATGCATGTTTGTATTATATTGCACGCTAAAGATAAAGAATAATTAAAAAAAAGGTAGCTATTTAGATCAGAAGCATAGCCTTATTGTGTTACTGATCTAAATAGCTACTTTTTCATATTGCAACATTGTTATAGTTTTTGCTATAACTTTTGGTTACATGTACTCTTACCATAGCTCTCTATCGCTTCTATATAAGATACTGATTTTTAGATCCAGTTTTAAATGACAGAGAGCAGCCACTGGTTGCTCACTGTTTAGGCAACATGCCCCTACTACACGGGGGATACCTGGCACAGGTAGGAGCACGAGGGAGTATTTAACCTGTGCCAGGTCCCCAATTATTGAAGTAGTGACTGGGCAGCAATAGATGGATGTCAGGAACACTGCTTACGTCCACAGGATGGAGTTGAAAAAATAAAATTTATTAGAAATATAAAAACACTAGTACAAAATAAAATGACTGTATAAAAACAGTAATTCAGGTAAGTCCTTAATCCTCCTGGACGTGCGAGACGCGTTTCGCCGGTGGGCTTTGTCAGTGTTCTTGACATCCATCTATAGGGTCTTGTGTCCCCTTATTGGCACATACATCATTATACTCAGAGACAGGTTTATAGGCTCTGAACCAGGGGAGCAGTTCTGTGTATTCCACCACTTAAATTACAACCCACTTATATACTACACCATATTTGTTTCTTTATTTTTAAAGGAACAGCACGATTTCACAAACTGTAGGTTTCGTGTTACCCCTAAAAACATGCCTGCCTAAGTGATCTGAGCCTGTCCTGCTGAGGCTCAGCACCTTGTGAGTGGGTCCATATACTTATATTACTACTCCACTGTTATTTAACTTATCACACGATTGTATTCTCTATCTCATCCCCATAGGTTATGACAAATAAATCCAAGAGAGGGGAGAGGTGAGTCATTTACTTGTAACTCTTGAGCGCTCCACCTATCGACTGGTGTCGGTTCCCCACCACACAGTATATCACTACATTTTCATATTCTCGTGTTAACCTGTGAGAGGATTATACATTGGTGGTAGCAGCATATATAATTTTTTCCACCCTTTTAAGCACCTGAATACACAATATTACTTTACATTACCACTAGTTTTACATTTTTGTTTAGGCAACATGCCCCTACTAACGGCAGCTGGTAGGGAGCTGGTAGCGCTGCCGGCTTCCTCTTTGCTTTTTTTTTTCTTGGCGCATGTGCAGTGCGGTTTTTGTTCTAATGGACGAAAACTAATTCTTTTTTTAATGAATTTCGTTCGAAAACTAATGGTTTGCGGATGAAATTCGGGATTGACAAATTCAATTTTTATGTAGTAGGAAATCTTTCGTACGAAATGAAAATTTCACTGGTGTACATGTCTAATATAATATATATGTACAATAGCGATAGCATCTATTGGTGAATGTATACGCCTTGTTTAATTTTTGATACCCTATATGTAAATGGTTTGTCGTTAATATATTTTATGTCCTATTTATGAGAATATATTTCTATTTACACATAATAAAGATCATACTGAAATAAATAAAACTACAAGAAGGATTTAAAAAAAAAAAAAATAAAGTCTGAGCCAGTGTGCCTTTTAGTGAGTGTTTCTGTCAGTGAGTGACTTTCAAATCAGTGAGATTGTGTTTGTTATTAAGAGTGTGTGTGAATCTGGCATGAATCTGGCATGATCAAAAAATTTGGTTCGGTTCGGAAATTCGGGTAAGTAAAAAAATGTGTCTGCTTCGGCAATTCGGATCAATGTCGTTCGGTTTGGTCATCACTTCGGACATTCGGATGCTTCCGAATGGCCGAAGTGATGCCGTTTGGCAGTTCCGAAGTGCCAAACCGAGTAACATTGGTCCGAATTGCCGAAGCAGACACATTTTTTTACTTACCTGAATTTCCGAACCGAACCAAATTTTTTGATCATGCACATGGAATGAAATACGTACGAATGTACATTCGGAACTAAATGAATTGCACATGTCTATTTCTCATTTCATTGGACAGGGAATAGTGAAACCGGAATGGGCAAGATAGATTCCTAGCATCATTCATGTAATTTTCCCTCCCTCTCTTGTTTTGTCACTTTTCAGAAATCCAATCACTTCGGCACTTCTGAACTACCGAACTTCATCATTTCGACACTTCGGACATTCGTAAGCATCCGAATGGCATGAAATTCGTACGAATGTACATTCAGGAACAAAACGAATTGCACATATATTTCTGTCAGTGAGCGTGATTCTCGGTGCAGAAATCACTATCCGTCACAAAATGTTAAACCCTAAAAAACTGACTATGTAAGAGGGCAAAAAATAATTGAGAAAGACCAACACTCTCAAAACGTAAAAGAGTGTTTCTGTCTGTTTGTTTAGCAAACAAATCTGTCACAAGAATCAAACCCTTATTGTATACTGTTGTTGTGGCGGACCACCTGGCACCCCAACTGGGTGCCTCCGCCAATCAATGCTTTCTAGTGCTCACCAAGTACTCCACCGTAAACCCTGCAGCCAGTGATACAGCTTGGTTGGGGTCTTGCTGTTCTCCACCCACCCTGGACCCAAGACCAGGATCCAGCTTCCAGTGGGTAGACCTCTCCCAATCCAGAAAGTAAAACAGGATAGATCTTATTAGCTCCCCAAGGGATTATAATGAGTATAGCAATCCCTAGAGTGAATATAGCTGTTCCCACCACACATGAGATGAGGCTCTATGTTGAGGGTGAAGAGGAACTGATTTAATGGGAGCCACATGCAGCTTTATATGCAACTCCCCATGCAAGGGGTTCCGGTCACATATTCCAGGGGTATTCCACTCCGGACCTGAGAGGAGACTACAGTAAAACATACACTTAAATACACATAATTACATTGGCTCTCAGGTCCAGGGCACTCGCACACAAAACATGGTAATTCCTCCCCAGTGCCTGAGAGATAATTGAGTCAGGAACTGTACTAAACTCAATTATCTCCAGGCACAGAAAACATACATTTTAACAACATCCTGAAAGTACCCCCAAAACACATGGAAACCCCACAAATCACATCCCCTGATAGCCCCGATCTGGGGGACCAACATAATAAAAAGTCACCCAGATTGGTTAAGGGGTTCGGGATTTCCACGGAAGTCATAATTTTGACCGACCGTGCACATGGTCCTATGCCCAAAACACTTCCAGGGAATCAGGGCTAACGGTCAGTACATTTATGAACAAAAGTACATAAATCACATGAACTGAGCCTTTTAAATTGCATTGGGCAAGGTATATTGCAGAGCCCATAGTCCTGAGGCAGGAGGCTGGCAAGCAGGCTCCTCCAAGGTTCTGTTCGCCACAGTTGTATCTAAAGATGAATGCTGGATTGATTATAAACCATAGTGAATTTTATATTTTCAGAAAGTGAATTCAACTCATTATGAAATCTGTGTAAGGATTCAAACATGCCACCCCACACCGCCATAATTTTATCAATATAACAAAAACCAATAGTGCACATAGATGCAAAATAATTGATGTGGATAGATTAATTTTTCTTTGAAAAAATCCATGTAGATATTGGCGTAGGTGGGTGCCACGTTCAAGCCCATCGCATTCCCCCTGGTTTGGAAATAGAATTTTCCAACAATGCAGAAATAATTCCTCTCCAACACAGTACGTAATTTGGGGCAATATGTACATAGTGGGTACAACAGGGTTCTTATTGATCAAAAAGACATAAGATTAGAGTCTATTATACCCTCATGCGAAGTTTTAAACACAATGTTAGCAATATGTTACAGAATTTCAATAGTAGGATCATAACATCACAAAATATGTTACTGTATCATCAAGTTGTTTCAAAATCTCTGATACATAATCCTTAGTTTTCAGAATCGCCATAGCCTGCCCTTCTCTGCTGGTTTGATGGTAATTGACTTGTTTGACTCCAAAACCTGGAGTGCCAAACGCTCCTCAACAGAAAGATTGGGGCTAATTTTTGCATAATGTTTTTTTTTTTTTTACAAACTTCATTTACCTCATTTTGTACCAAAACAATAAATGTTTCAATCACATTATCTTTAACAAATGGAATGAATTGTGACTTTTTAGATAAACCAAATCATTGGTTATCATGCTTGGAGGGTTAATTTAACTGAAATTATTGTGCGTTTTACTGGTACTGGTAAGACACTCATTAACACAGCAGATTTTGTATTGCTGTGGAACACACATTAAGAGACACCAAACACCAACAGACTTAAAGGGACACTCTAGGCACCAAAACAACTTCAACTAAATGAATAAACAGTTCTCGAACAGCCTAACCCCAAAGTTGCCACCATTGGCGATGTCCACCGTCCACCCCCCAGATGGCATCCGACTTCTGAAATGTCACATTCAGAAAGGTCAGCGTGCAGCCAGGCAGACTCTTGCATCTAATCAGTGACTCCCTATTCATATAACTGGCTTAGAAAAGGTATGTTTCTTTCAAAGCCTGTTTTATATATATTTTAAGAATATGACAAATGGAGGTGGTGGGGGAAAGAATGTCATACATGGGTAGTCTGGGGTGTGGATGAGACACATGGAGATGCTGGGGTGTAGAATGGGACACATGGAGTAGCGGAGGGGAGAATGAGAAATATGGGGGGGGGGAATGTGACACATGGAGGTGCTGAGGGGAGAATGTGACACATGAAGGAGCTGGGGGAGAATTAGAGACATGGATGGCCCGGGGGATGGATAAGACACGTGGAGGGGCTGGAAGGAAGAATGAGTCACATGGGGGGATGAGACACATGGAGGTGCTGTAGTGAGAATGAGACACATGGAGGTCCTGGGCAAAGAATGAGAAATATGGGGGGAAAGAATGTGACACATGAAGGAGCAAAGAATGAGAAATATGGGGGGAAAGAATGTGACACATGAAGGAGCGGGAGGAGAACTAGACAGATGAATGGCCTGGGGGGTGGATGAGACATATGGAGGCGCTTTTGGGTGAAAATGGGGCACATAGGGGGAATGAAACACACGGAAAGTGGAGAATAAGTGGTTTCTAGTTACGCTTCTGGCTCTCAGCCAATCAGCGATCAGCGTTTGCCCTGCGTGGCAGGACTCTGCACTTCCTGAAAGTGAAAATTCTGAATGCGAATTCTGCCCGGTAGGTTCTGGAGATTGCCGCTGGAGGCAACTTTGGTGTCGAGAAGGATTTAACCTCTTGAAGTCAGATTGCCCCCAGGAGCCATAATGTCATTTAGATGAAGTTGTTTTGGTGCCTGGAGTGTCCCTTTAAGTTTGGCAGGTCTAAAATTGGAGGAGGTGGATGGAGAAAATTAATGTACTCACCCAATAAAGGGGGAAGACACCACATCACTTTCACACCAGAATGACAGACTGGTCAGTAATAGTAATTCTGAAACATCTTCTGAAGGTATACAGTTCAGTCAGGTCCTATTAAAGAAAGACTTATTCACTTCTATTCTGTCTGAGCCAAAAATATGTCAGATGCTTTGGTCGTATCTATCCTAAAGGAAGAATATAAAATACAATTCAACACATTTCCAAAAAAAAGGTCCTTCATAAAATCAAGAGTTTCAGGAAGAAAGAAAGAGAAAGCTATGAGATAATGCATATCCAAATTTCACTAATAAGAGTAATAGAAGTTCCTCACTCTGAGAAGTTCAAGGGATTCTAGTCAACAGTTTTCCTAGCCCCAAAGCCCCAAGGGAATTGGAGGTTGATTATAGAACTCCTTGGAGATGATCAATAAGACCACATATATTGACTCAAGGACCAGCAACCCACTCCAACCCCTCCAGCTGGAACTTGGGAGCATGGATTTTGAAAGGAGGTCTCTCCAAGCTTAAGGCCTATCAGAATCTGTATTTGACACAGATTCTGATAGACCTCCTCATGCTACTCTTGCATTTGGAATACCTTCAAGAATTGGGCTAAGGAGAAATCTTTGATTTTCTACATCCCACTCATCTACATGCTCTGGAATTTCTTTAGGCAGGCCTTGGCAAAGGATTTAGCCTCAAAACCCTAAAGGTTTAATCATCAGCTCTGTCTGCCCTCTGCAATGTTTCATGGGCCTCCAATCCACTTATAACAAGATTCTTTAAGGCAACGATAAAAATCCATCCACCAATTAGGAACTCTGCTCCTCCTTGAAATTTACCTCTGGTCTTAGACACCTTAACAGTACCTCTCTTTGCTCCACTGTCAGAGATTAAAATCTAACACCTGACTTATAAGGCTGTGTTCTTGGTCTCCATTTTCACAGTAAAGGCATCTCAGCACTTAAGCCTTTTCAAGTGAATATTCTCATACAATAATCTTCCATGATAGAATTGTTTTAAAGCCTACAGAAGATTTCCTCCTTAAAGCCGTTTAACTTTCATCTTCTTTAAGAAGTAGTACTACCATCCTTTTTTCCATACCCTTCTAATCTGGAAGAAGGAAAATCTTACGAACTGGACGTCGGAGAGTGCATTATCTGATACTTATCGGTCACTGCAGACCAGAAAATCCAACAGGTTATTTGTTCTACCTTAAGGTCCTCGCAAAAGTGAAGCAGCCTCATCCTAAACTTTAAGACAATGGATAGCAGGGGTAATTTCAGATGCTTATCAAAGTAACAATATGCCTGCTCATGAGAAAATCAAGGCTCATTCCACCAGATCTCTCTTTACATCTTGAGCTTATAGGGCAGAGGTTCCTCTGGATTATATTTGCAAGTTGGCTACTTGGTCTTCTCCTACAACCTTCATTAAAAAATACAAATTGGACTTGGCATCCATACCTTCAACTTCCTTTGGTAAAGGAGTTATATCCACAGTAATGCTTCACATTATAATTTAAATTCCTTTTGCATTACTTTGGTGTCTTCTCATCCTTTATCTTATTACTGCCTGGGTATTACCCATTAGTAATGCTGCCATGATTAGCCAGGAATAAGGAAAATATATGTCATTGTTACCTGGTAAGTTTCCTTTTCTGGCTATGAATAATGACAGCATCAATTACCCTTCCAATATTTGCTTTCAAACAGGACTGATGGAAGAAGGAGGGACCCTTTATGCACCATTATACATTAAACTGTAGTTATTCTGGTAACTATAGTGTCCCGTTAAGTAAAAGGGGTGTACATAATTAAGCAAACAGGTTAAAGGACCACTATAGTCACTCAGACCACTTCAGCTCAATGATTTTAACCCTTCAGAGAAACTGCTATGTTTACATTGCAGGGTTAATCCAGCCTCTAGTGGCAGGCTTCCTGACAGCAGCTAGAGGCTCTTCCCCGACGTTCAATGCGAAATTCGCATTGAGCACGCAAAACGTCCGTAGGAAAGCGTTGAGAAATGCTTTCCTGTGGGTATTTTCAATGCGCTCTTGGTGCTGGCCGCGCATGCACATTCGGCTCCATTCAGGAGCTGACGTTGGGGAAGAGGTTACCAGCGCTGAGTGCGCTGGATAAAGGTAAGTGGCTGAAGGGGTTTTAACCCCTTCAGGCAGCAGGAGGGGGGCCCTGAGGGTGGGTGGACCCTAAGGATGATATAGTGTCAGGAAATGGGTTTGTTTTCCTGACACTACAGTGGTTCTTTAAGACATTTTACACAATCATATCTCAATACTGCAAGTTCATTTCCTATCTATAGGTTTACATAGCGCTAAACTGGTCAGAACTAGCTTTTAGCTAGGAACCAAAGAACAATGTAGCCATAAATATTTTGCTGACTCCAGAAGTGTCCTTGTCTATTTCAGCAAAGAAAGATGTTTAACCGTTTCAGAACCTAAAGTCCCCAAATAATGGTGTTTTAGGTGGGTTTTTTTTTTAAGTGTTTTGTTGTGGGCTATCGCACTTGACAAGGTGCTGCTAGTTATTATCATCAAACATATCTGTTTCAGCGCCATTTCTTCTACTTGCACACTTTGTTTCTCTATATTGCCGTATTGGCTTTTAACAACAAAATAATAATAATAATAAATTTTTTATTTATTTTAGGACGCGCTGCTGTCGCGGGTTTCCATGGTAACAGGAGCACGCTAGTGCGGCGCTCCTGGTTGCGTCAGGCGCCCTTTGACCTCCATCGCGTCCGATGACGTCAAACGCCACCCCGCTGCACAGGAACACATTGAATTATGGAGAATTAAAACGGAGGGGGGAAAAAAAATAATATTTATGGTAAATATAGTCCGTGTGTACGCTGTGCTCCATCTGTGTGTAATCTTAAAAAAAATATATATGCCCCGTGCTGGGCTTCAAAAGGCGGAAACTTTATTTGTGGTCAGGTTAGCATTGACTTTTTATTGTTAATTAATATTAGGAGCGTTCTTGGATGGGTAAGTAGACTTGGGACAAGCCATTGCCCCTGTTCTCCTCTAAATAGCTGCGTCCAGCAGGATGCCTTGTCTTTTAACCCTTCATGGCTCATGGCTCTGATAACAGAGTTGCCGAAACGCAGTCAGCCAATCAGCGCTCTGTGCCTGGATCACGTGACCGCCCAGGATGGCAAGAAGAATGGACTAGCAGGAACACACAGAGCACTCACAGGGAGACTTGTTTGTAAGTTGCTATTACAGCCAGTGGGGCTCTGTCTGGAGCACAAGAGGAAACATTATTATTATTAATATTCAGGGCTTTTTGTTTTGTAAAATAAAAATAAATCAGGTCAAAGTCATTCTCAAGGGGAAATCATGTTAATAATGTGTCTTATAGGGGCAAGGATTGTGCTGTTTGTTGGCTAGTTTGATAGTTTTTTTTTCTTTTCAAAATTGCATTTGTGAAGATCATTATGTTAATATAAATTAAATTTTATGCAATATGTATATTTAGAAATCGATAAATATTGTAAGTAGATTGGTGCATTTACATATATTTTTTACAATGGGTATACTGATATAGTCCCAGGAAGAGTGTGTGTGTGTATGTATATATATATATAAATTGTCAACCTATTTAAATGTATGTTTGAATTCTCCACTATTGCCATTATCTCTTGAATAAAATATTTGAAATAAATGTTCTCATCAGGAATAATATATATTTGAAATTTAAATGTCCCGGTTTAAGAATGGATATATAGGAATTTCTCCCGGTTTAAGTATGACCTAGGGACTCCATATGTAATGTTATGTATGTACTTCGCATTGTTTTTTTGGACTGATTATATTCTGCAAGAGTGTTCTGAATGCACAAGTGCTACGTAGAGTTAAAGATAAAAGGTTCTTGTAAAACCCCAAATCAAAAGTTATAATAGCAATAAGAGACTGTTGGTGTCACCTAGTGTCCATTCTTGGAATTACATATATTCTTTTCTTTTCCTTTATTAACCCATTACTGTTAAGGTTATTGTCTAAATTTTTTAACAAACAAAAAAAAAATGGAATTTGGTATGTGTTGGTTTATTTGTAATGGTACTCTTTCATTAATGGGGCACTCCTACCAAAATTAAGTATTTCAGTAATTTGTGTGCTGGATCCTCAAGTGTCACTTTGAATACATTTACACCTATTATGTGTATATAAATATTTTTAAAGGACAGCCAGGCCTTTTTTTTTTAAAAATACATAATACACATAACTGGTCATTTGGTATGATTCAAATATTCAAAAATATGAAACGGTAACCATTTTCATACAGTTTTTATATAGAATGTTTTTTTCATCTAATGCAACTAAGGGGAAAAAAATAGTTCATATTACTTATAATTTTGGAAGAACCTCCTCTTTCTAGGCAGTTCATTATTTTTGGTGTGAACCAACCCAGGTTCCATTCTCTTCTATTCTTGTACTAGCTCATCTAGAAACCCTACTAGTCTCCTTGCAGTGCCCTGCCATTCGTGCACATCTATCCTTGTTCACTATTTATTCTGAAATACTATCATCATCATCTCAGTCTGTCACATTCAAAGCTATTTTAGGGCTGCACTGTTCCTATGGAACTCTCTTCCCTATTCCTTCATGCTCTTCTTCATTCTTTTTTGTTTCAAAAATGACAAAAACAACTCCAAAGTCACATCAGTTAAACTGTTAACACCTTTCATTCTCCTTTCTCCACATTCCCACTAAACCTTTGCATTTACTTAGCCTCTTCTAAGATTTTAGATGTCATTTTATTGCGAACTTTGTGTAATTGTAACCAATTCCCATTAAAATGGAAGCTTATTTAAGCAGGACTTTTGCCACCTTCTGTTCCTATATGTAACTACTTGTTTCTTAATTTACCTAACTTTTGTTTGTTACTTTATGTCCTTTGTGGTGTTGGCTGGTTCCATCTATCTAAATATTTATCTTGGGGTCTCCTACCTTATGCCCAATGTTATAGTCTATCATCAAACCAAAAAAAGCTTCTAATTTCTTGCTTTAAAAACTTTATACAACTTATTGAGGCACCCCCATTGAAGTGGTCTGGGTGCAGTGTCCCTGTCTCCTTAAACGTGCAATGTAAGACATTGCAGTTTTATAAATACTGCAATATTTACATTGCAGGTTTACCACTACTGCCTCTAGTGGCTGTCTATCAGCCACTAGAGGTGCTTCCTGCTGTTTCACAGAGCTAAACTCTGTGAAAAGACGCTGAACATACTCACGCTTTGCATGATTAACTGCTTCCCTATGAGGAAGGCCTGATATGCTTCTTCGCCATGCATGCACCTTAGGTTCCCGTCTAGCAATGATGTCTAAGGAGAAGACGAACCTGGTAAGTGTTAAAGAGTTTTTAACACTTTCGGTGCCGTGGAGGGGCTTTGCATTCCTAACACTCTAGTGTTCATTTAAAGGGACACTATAGGCACCCAGACCACTTCATCTCATTGAAGTGGTTTGGATGCACTATCCCTGTCCCCCTTAATCCTACAATGTAAAACACTACAATTACATAGAAACTGCAAAGTTGCAGGCTTAATACAATTCCAGTGACCACCATTAGAGGCGCTTCCTCATTAAGAACTGAGTCAAACTAATTTTTCTATGAAATACTGCTATAACAGAGCAGCATTTTACCACAGATGTGCTCTAACCTACCAATGTTTCCCAATGGGGAAACATGGGATTGGATGAGATCAACAATCATGATGACCTAAACCAAGCAGCAGGATGGAGACCATCGCTGTGAGGGCTGATGGGTAAGTAAATGTAACCGTTCAACCTTCGCAGGTGTGGGGAGGACCTAAACAGCTATATTAAAACTGTAGCTTTAGGAATGCATATTTGTATTCCTAACTCTATTGTATTCTTTTAATAGGTAATATGATAATACTGACAAGGAAATTGCATATTCTAGTACAAAGTAGCGAAACTGGGAAATTTCTCCTACTCCATTACTTATCTAGTTTGGCTACTTAGACCTAAAATATGCAGCTTTAAAAAAAATAAAAATTATCCACAATTCCTGGTGTCTGTCTATTACATTATATATACACATATTTTAATAAGTTGTATTTTCCCTAAGGTGGGACAAGGAAATGTCTGAAGGACCTTGTCCTGACTTTGATCTGATGAATGCTTTGGATTGGAGGGACGGTGTTGCTACCCTTCCAGGCAGTCACATTCAGGTTAGACTTTTCCTACCCTGTGTTCACATCTATCTTCAGCTCTTTGTTGATTTTTCTCACGGTGTCACTATTTCTGTATCCTTTTATTTAGTTTCGTCTTAACGAATTTGGGACACTTGAGATCATCACTGATTCTGACACTGCTTTGACTTCCTCAGCAGACCCAAGTATCCAAAATCCCAGCGCAACAGCCTCCAATTCCGTACCACCAACCCCCGACAAAGGTAAATTCATGGAAATTCTGAGAGTAGATCTAGATACAGCTTTCATTTTCATGGCTATGTACATGACCATGTGTAACATTTCTTCTTACAAAGAAATTGAAATCACCAGCAAAGGCAGAGAACGAGACATGGAGAAGAAAATAAAGGTGGAGGAGGGGTGAGTTGAAATGTTAAGGTGTGTTCTGAATTGTTTTCTTGGATGTGTCCCGGCAGAAGCAGTTTTGAACTTTGGAGAGATTTGTTTAACTAGTGTGTTGTACTTTAAAACACTTACTCATGATCTTACTCCATATAGGGAAGATGTGAAACCTCCCAGAGAGGACCAGGTTCCACCATCTACTTCCTCAGTACCTGTTGCATGTACTGATAATGAGCGCCCTCAGCGACTGCGCAAAAAGAGGAAACTGCTCATGGACTCAGGGGACGAGGAGGAAGGAGTAGAGGAGGAAGAGGTAAAAAGATAGGTCTCTACATCCTTACTCTCTAGAACGGAAAATGACATACCTGTTACTATTCACACTTTTAACATAATCCCTCATAAAACATTAAATAGGTTTCCTCCTATTATTCCATATTTTAGCTAGCATTTATGTAGCGCCAACTTATTCTGCAGCACTTTACAATGTTATGAAGGGGAAATGGAACAATTGATACAATTACAAAATGATACTGAAACAAATGGTTGATGAGGACCCAGTTTAAACAAGATTACAATCTAGAGGATAATTGTATATAACTTTTTAAGGCATTCTCACATAGATCATTGCTTTTTATAAATACAGTTGTGCTCAAAAGTTTGCATACCCTGGTAGAAATTGTGAGATTTTGGGATTGATTTAGAAAATATGAAAGTTTTTTTGTTGAATGATAGTGATCATATGAAGCCATTTATTATCACATGGTTGTTTGGCTCCTTGTTAATTCATAATGATAACATAAATCACCCAAATTACCCTGTTTAAAAGTTCACATACCCTTGAATGTTGGCCTTGTTACAGAAACGCAAGGTGACACATAGGTTAAACTGGCAATTAAAGGTTAATTTCCCACTTCTGTGGCTTTTAAAATTGCAATTAGTGTCTGTGCAAATAGTCAATTAGTTTGTAAGCTCTCAGGTGGGTGCACTGAACAGGCTAGATACTGAGCCATGGGGAGCAGAAAAGAACTGTCAAATGACCTGCGTAACAAGGTAATGGAACTTTATAAAGATGGAAAAGGCTAACAAAAGCCTTGAAAATGCCAGTCAGTACTGTGCAATCTCTTATTATGAAGTGGAAAGTTCAGGGGGATCTCTTGATGCCAAGCCAAGGTCAGGGAGATCAATAAAGATTTCAGCCACGACTGCCAGAAGAATTGTTCGGGATACAAAGAAAAACCCACAGGTAACTTCAGGAGCAATACCGGCTGCTGTGTAAAAAGACAATGTGGCTGTTTTCAAGGAGCACAATACGAAGAAGAAAGAAGCCTTGGAGAGCAAAAAAATGGGTCCCAAGAGTATACTGAGAACGGGCAGCAGCTGAAATAGCCTGCCCTTCGGTGGGTTCCCGCTCAGAACTCAAGCTGGTTTTTGCTCATCTTGTGGCATTACAGAGAGAACATCTCTGAAACATATCAGACTGGTCCCACCCATACGGGCAGTCTAGATCTGAAATTCCAGCAGGTTCCCTCTGCACGAGAGACACAGCAAACCCAGACGATCGTAAAGATAGAAGCCTTTACTACGCCAATGCTACAAAAAAGCACGGTTGCAATATGCCCGACAACACCTTGACATGTCTCACAGCTTCTGGCACACTGTAATTTGGAGTGACGAGACCAAAATAGAGCGTTATGGTCACAACCATAAGCGCTGTGTTTGCAGAGGACTCAACAAATAGTTGGGACTATAGTTAAAGGAACACTATACACACTGTGAAGCGGGGGGGAGGAGGGGGTGCACTCTAAAGGCACAGGGAATCTTGTGAAAATTGATGGCAAGATGAATGCGGCATGTCATCAGAAAATACCGGTAGACAATTTGCATTAATATGCACAAAGGCTGCGCATGGTATGCTCATGAACTTTCCAGCATGACAATGACCCTAAGCACAAGGGCAAGTTGACCCTCTGGTGGTTGCAGCAGAAAAAGGTGAAGGTTCTGTAGTGACCATCACAGTCTTTTGACCTTAATATCATCAAGCCACTCTGGGGAGATCTCAAACATGTGGTTCATTCAAGATGACCAAAGACTTTGCATGGCCTGGAGGCATTTTGCCAAGACGAATGGGTAGCCATACCATCAGCAAGAATTAGTGGCCTCATAGATAACCGGTACAAAAGACTGCACGCTGTCATTGATTCTAAAGGGGCAATACACAGTCTGGCATGCAGACTTTTGAACAGGGGACATTTCATTTTTGCTTTGCAATATTTTGTTATTTGATGGTGCCATTCTGTTATAACTTACAGTTTAATATGAATCCTATAGGAAATCAAAGAAATGTGTTTTCCCTGCTCACTCATGTTTTCTTTTAAAAATGGTACCCATATTACCGGTAAGCAAACTTTTGAGCACAACTGTATATAGGTTAGTATGCTGATCCTGATGAAAGTTTGTTAAATCAAACTGAAATGCCGGAAAATTATTATTTTTTTTTTTATAGTTTATTTATGTAAGCAATAACAGCTACGTTTTACTTTTTTTTTTGACCAAGTCCCTGGAGTGCTATCTGCTGTGGATATATATATATATATTTATATAACATGCACATGGATCCAGCACTCACTCTCCTGGTCTTGTCCTTGCCTGGGTGCAAATCATTTATGCCAAGATATAAATATCAAGTAAGGTGCACTCGAAGGACTTTGTAGATAACTTTTCAAGTTTTATTGTGCAATCATACACCAGAAAATGTGTTGACGTTTCGGTCCTCTATGGGACTTTTCTCAAGGGTTTTGAGAAAAGTCCCATAGAGGACTGAAACGTCGACACATTTTCTGGTGTATGATTACACAATAAAGCTTCAAGATTTATCTACAAAGTCCTTCGCGTGCACATTCCTTGAGATAGAGATAAACCCTAATGGTGCCTACTTTGTATCTTTATGTTCCATTCCAGAATGGAGGCAGAAAGCTATGCAAAATGTGGGGTTTGAAAAAAATAGCTTGGTTTTAATAAATTAGAATCTTGGGTATAGTACACACTGGGCAAGGGGCCCTTCCAACCCATTTAATTAGATTACCCCTTATTTCAGAAAGCTTCCAGGTTAAAGAAAAAGATACCTAGTTCCTCGGAGCAAAAGGACCCTACAAACAAAGTTAACATTTAGATAGGGGCTTTCCTCAATGGCTCAGCTGTGCTGATCATATAAACGATGATCCTTTTTCTCTATAAACCTTTGAGGAGGTGATGCTTTAGTGTAGTTCAGTCAAAAGTCCTCCTTGGCGTTCAAATAAATTAGCGTTTGATTGAGGTAGGGAGTTCTGTTATTGGCATCTCATGTAAAATATAAGCAGAAAAGAAAAACCAGTAGTGCAAGCCAGTATCCGGGCCAGATTTAGAGCCCAGTGGGCCTGGTGCTGACAATTATGATGGGCCTTATTACAAAATCTTATTGACCAAAAACACTAAAACAGTCCTACCTCCTAAGCGTCATGTATGATGGAGATGGTGCTTGAGGGAAACTCATACGATGCAGCTATGAGAAAGCACATACCCTACGCTTTCATCTTTCAAGTAAACCCATATCCCCTAACAGCAGTGTCCAGTAAAGCAGGAAATCTATGGACGGGGTAAAAGGGTTGGCCACTGACACAAATCACATAACCAGAACTGCTGAAAGGGGCAAATATACACAAAAAGGGGGCATGTCTGTGTCCCCATGTCTCCCAGTCCCTTAGGGTCTGTGTCCCCATGTCACTAGGACACTAGGGGACATTGAGAGACATTGGGACACTGGGAGACCTTGGGACACTGAGACTCTTGGGGAGACATGGGGACACTGGGTGACTTTGAGGTACAAGGGGACACTGGGAGACATTAGGGCACTGAGACACTGTGATACATAGGGGACACTGGAGACTTGATAAAAAACCTGGGTACAGGTCGAAACATTGCGGTGTCCAATAAACCTGCTTAAATCTATCTCTATGAGTGCTTGAGAATTTTTTTCTTTCATACTAGGGGACACTGATACACTGGGAGACTAGGGGACTTTGGGAGACTAGGAAACACTGAGACACTAGGGACAATGGCACACTACAGACACTGAAAGACACCAGGGACACTGGGAGACATGGGGATACTGAGATACTAGGGATACTGTAGTGCCCCATGTCTCCCAGGTCTCAGTCGCCCAGTGTCCCCATGTCGCCCACTGTCCCATAGTGTTTGTGTCCCCATGTCTCCCAGTGTCCAGATGTCACTAGGACACTAGGGGACACTGGGAGCCATGGGGACACTGGGAGACTAGGGGACTCGGGGAGACTCGGAACACAGACACTAGGGAGACATGGGGACACTGGGAGACTAGGGGCACTGGCAGGGAGACATGGGGACGCTGAGACATGGGGCCACTGTGTCCCTAGTGTCTCTTGGTCCCCATGTGTCCCAATGTCTGTGTCCCCAAGTCTCTCACAGAATCGGAGCTGCTGTCTGGACTCTCGCGGATTAGTGAGTAGAGAGAGGTAGGGAGGGAGATGCTGTAACTTCTTATCCCTGCCTCTCTCCACACAAACAGCGACTCCTACTGGCCGGCATTGGTATTGCAGAATAATCTCTGTTTATACTGAGACATTTGTATTGCTGGTATTACTGCAATACCAGAATACCTGGGAAATAACTGGCAACCATAAGAAATACCTGGCAAACCGCAAAGAGTAGTGTGTGTTTAAAAAAAATAAAAATCAATGGGCCTGGGCCTGGAGCTTCAGTTCCATCAGCCCCTATGTTAATCTAGCCCTGACCAGAATGTTTAATACCTCAATAATGTGAAGAAAAAGAATACACTCACAATATTTTACCAGAAAAGATACATAGAGATTTCTCTCATTTTCAGGTATGTTCTGGGTCCACAATACATTGCATCGATACAATAGGGTACAATAAAATACAAAACCAATATTAATATACAAAATGTAATATAGAACAGGTAGGAAATATATAATCAACCATAACAGGTGCATTCTGTTTTGAGATATGTAGAAAGAGATATCTTACAGGATTTTAGGCCTGGGTAAGATTTGAAAGTGTAAGGAATGTCGTTCCATAATTGTGGTGCTCTGTAGGAAAAGGAGGATCGAGCGGCTTTCTTTTTGTGTTGAGGTAGACTAAGTAAAGTGTTGGTACTGGATCGGAAATTATAGGAGGTGGGAACAGCTGTGGATAGCATTCTGCTCAGGTAGGGTGGGAGCTTCCCAGAAAATCTCTTAAACACAAGGCTGGAAAGATGAAGGGTGCGTCTGGATTCCAGCGACAGACAGTTTAGCTCTTTTAACATGTCACAATGGTGGGTCGCGTAATTACATTGTAGCACAAATCGGCAGAACGAGTTATACAATGTATTATGTTTATTAAAGGGACACTATAGTCAACCAGACCACTTCAGCTCAATTAAGTGGTCTGGGTGTCTGGTCCCCCAGGTTTTAACCCTTCAGATGTAAACATAGCAGTTTCAATATGTCTTTTGGGGGCCAAAAGATAGATTGAGGTCTAACAAAATACCCAAGTATTTGAAAGAGTGGACTGCGGTCAGTGTGCTATTTGCTTTGGTTTTGATGCATAGATGGGAATTTTGTAATTTGTGTAATTAGGTACTGTTACAAAGATCATTGTGACAGTTTTGTCAGTGTTTAGGAAGATTTTTTTTTTTTTTTTTAATTTTTTTTTGTGATCCACTTTTCTACCTCTGTGAACTGGTCTTGGAGCACAGCCCCAAGCTGCGGTAAATAAGATTTGCTAGCATAGTTTACTGTGTCGTCTGCATACATATGATCGAAACCAGGTTAGCGGACGATCACCAATTCCTGATTTAAAAAAAAAATAAAAATTTTTTTTTGAGTTTGTGCAGTAGAATGTCGTGGTCTCCTGTTTTAAAGGCCTTTACAAAATCAAGGAAAATAGCTCCAGTTAGGTCTCCTTGTTCCATACCAGTTTGGATGTTATTGCAAACTTTTTTAAGAGGGCAGTTGTAGTGGAGTGATTCTGGCGAAAACCTGATTGATCAAGGGTCAGATAGTTTGATTGTTGGTAATACTCACATAGTTTTGTATGGACGCATTTTTGTAAGATTTTTTTTTTTTTTTTTAAATTCTTTATTTTCAATGACAGAAATTTCAGCCTTGAGAACAGTACTTGGGCTTACGTAAAAGCCAAAATTCGTGTTTTACAGTAGTTTCATAGTAATACAGAAAAAAGAGAATGGATTGTTAAATGGTAATGCAACTGTTCAGAATTCTTCCTTGCGGTCTTGTTCTATCAGGGTTTTTACATTTATATAAAAGACTAAACAGATTTAAGTGTTAACCTTAAACAACATAAAAATAGGATGTGTAGCCAACACTTTCGTGTGTGTCGTATTTTTTTTTTTTTGTATAGATTCTTTTTATTTCATGGAAAAAGGAAGTGCACATGTGTGTCAATGACTGGGCCTATGCAGAAGCCTCGAGAAAGGTGCATATTTGGGTAATAGCTGGCTGGCTTGCACTAAAGCCGCCAAGGGAGTGCATACATGTGTGTCAATGCTTTAGGCTTGCACAGAAGTCGGGACAACAGTGCATATTCATGCCTGTACAGTGGCTTGCGCAGAAGCCTCATTGCATTTTCAATTGGTTCAGTTGCACCTTGGTGAGGGTGAGCAAGTCAAGGCAAGAGTCACGGTTATGGTCGCCGCTAATCTCGTCAGCGGTTAATTTGTCATCTTTTGGTGTGCTGAGGTAACTCTGCGTGGTTTGTCCGTGAGGTCTTGCCCTGAGCACACATGTCACTCCAATTAGCGTGATTTTGTACAGGTGTTAGCTAAACATATAACAGGTAATCTAAAATCTAGTATTGACTAGCAACATTGTATTTAATTATACGGTGAGTTGGTGTCGCTGTCTCCACGGCTCGGACGAGGGGCGTTGTGTGTCCCTTTGTCGTTGGCCCTATGTGTGCATTTTTGTAAGATTTTTGACAATACTGGGCGCACTGATATTGGGCGATAGTTAGAAACCAAAGTAATATCATCCCGCTTTTATGGATAGGCACTACTCTCGCACTCTCCCAAAGTTTGGGTATGTATCCAGACACCAATGATTCGTTAGTTAGGGTTGTGACAGGTTTAGAAATTGCCGGCACATGGAGCTTCAACAGCATTGCTCAGGGATAAAACTTGAATTTTTCTCTTTTTAAGTGTTCAGTGTTCACAGTGGAAGCGTCATATAAAAAAAAAAACACAAAAAAAAAAAACAGGATATAGTGCTCACTGTTTCAAACCAATAAAAGTGTGTGGAAAAGTATGAAAATTACTCACAATTTTAAGAGCACCTTATCCTCAATGATATCCGCTTAGGTGGAATGATCCCCACCAAAGAGAGAGAGAAAGAGAGAGCGAGCGATGTGTATATATGTGCGTATATATATACATATACATACATACACACACACACACACACACACACACACACGATATATATATACTTATACTTGGCGCAAATCTGTTTTCTACCTATTGTTTTCCCTTGGATTGTTAGTGTATCCAATTAACAGAATCTGCTGCCATTTGAGTGAGCGCTGTATCTCTCGCTTACTTAGCTACTAGAGGCAGACGTATTGCTGCAATATAAATATTGCAGTTTCTCTGGAACTGCAATATTTTACATTGCAGCAATAAGGGCAGTAGGGACTTATTTATGCTCTTTTTTTTTTTGTATTGACTTATCTTAATTAAAATGCACTAGCATTTTCTAACATAGAACTAAGTATATTTAATTTGTTAATTCAAGGTTTCTCTAATTGGATTCTCTCTATTGGTGAACATTCTTAATTTTTAACAATTAAGGGATAGACCCTGCCACTCTTGATCTAAGCGACTGTTGTGCAAGGAGGGGAAGTCTCCCTGGTTTGAGAATAGAAGTCCCACAGTGACCATTTTTTCTGTTTGTTTCTGCTCTTTTGTATTTCTTGTTCAACTACTGTGCTTAATTGTTCTGTAGGACAAAATTAAAGGGAACCTGAAGAGTCGAAAATATTCAAGACAAAGTAAATCAGGTAAGTCCTAAGAAAGTGACCCGTTCGAGAAACCTCGCTAATTTTAAAGGCCAAATCTGCCCATGTGAACCCCCAAGTGGTGGTTCTACTATTTTTTTCACCCAAAAAAAAAAAGAAAAGCAAACCTTGAACAATATATTAATTTAATCATAATGATCTCTGTTCACACGTACCTCTTTAATTGAGGGTATCTATTATCATCTGCATTGATTTTCTCTGCACAGGGACCATTAAAAAAACAAAACCCCCAATCGAACTTTAATACCTCATCTGTAGCACCTGCTTCAATCTTGCAAGCTCAATTAAATTGTTACTTTCAACAGCCAATATTTTATTTTTATTTATTACATTGTGTACATATTGGACAAGAGGACACACGTTTTTTTTTTCGTTTTTTTTTCTTCTGACCAAAGTCTTTCTGTACCGTTAGTAAATGTAATACAAGCTTGCTTTCCTAATGGGGAAGTGATGACAGAATGAGGTCATGCTCCTTATAAGGAGTATAGAAGAGTATTCAAACTACAGCCAACAACCATTCAAAGGTTGGTGGAGCAAATGTGATTAATTAATATATATATATATATATATACACACATACACACACACACACACACACTGCAGAATTATTAGGCAAGTTGTATTTTTGAGGATTCATTTTATTATTGAACAACAACCATGTTCTCAATGAACCCAAAAAACTCATTAACATCAAAGCTGAAGTAGTTTTTAGTTTGTTTTTAGTTTTAGCTATGTTAGGGGGATATCTGTGTGTGCAGGTGACTATTACTGTGCATAATTATTAGGCAACTTAACAAAAAACAAATATATACCCATTTCAATTATTTATTAGTACCAGTGAAACCAATATAACATCTCAACATTCACAAATATACATTTCTGACATTCAAAAACAAAACAAAAACAAATCAGTGACCAATATAGCCACCTTTCTTTGCAAGGACACTCAAAAGCCTGCCATCCATGGATTCTGTCAGTGTTTTGATCTGTTCACCATCAACATTGCGTGCAGCAGCAACCACAGCCTCCCAGACACTGTTCAGAGAGGTGTACTGTTTTCCCTCCTTGTAAATCTCACATTTGATGATGGACCACAGGTTCTCAATGGGGTTCAGATCAGGTGAACAAGGAGGCCATGTCATTAGATTTTCTTCTTTTATACCCTTTCTTGCCAGCCATGCTGTGGAGTACTTGGACGCGTGTGATGGAGCATTGTCCTGCATGAAAATCATGTTTTTCTTGAAGGATGCAGACTTCTTCCTGTACCACTGCTTGAAGAAGGTGTCTTCCAGGAACTGGCAGTAGGACTGGGAGTTGAGCTTGACTCCATCCTCAACCCGAAAAGGCCCCACAAGCTCATCTTTGATGATACCAGCCCAAACCAGTACTCCACCTCCACCTTGCTGGCGTCTGAGTCGGACTGGAGCTCTCTGCCCTTTACCAATCCAGCCACGGGCCCATCCATCTGGCCCATCAAGACTCACTCTCATTTCATCAGGCCATAAAACCTTAGAAAAATCAGTCTTGAGATATTTCTTGGCCCAGTCTTGACGTTTCAGCTTGTGTGTCTTGTTCAGTGGTGGTCGTCTTTCAGCCTTTCTTACCTTGGCCATGTCTCTGAGTATTGCACACCTTGTGCTTTTGGGCACTCCAGTGATGTTGCAGCTCTGAAATATGGCCAAACTGGTGGCAAGTGGCATCGTGGCAGCTGCACGCTTGACTTTTCTCAGTTCATGGGCAGTTATTTTGCGCCTTGGTTTTTCCACACGCTTCTTGCGACCCTGTTGACTATTTTGAATGAAACGCTTGATTGTTCGATGATCACGCTTCAGAAGCTTTGCAATTTTAAGAGTGCTGCATCCCTCTGCAAGATATCTCACTATTTTTGACTTTTCTGAGCCTGTCAAGTCCTTCTTTTGACCCATTTTGCCAAAGGAAAGGAAGTTGCCTAATAATTATGCACACCTGATATAGGGTGTTGATGTCATTAGACCACACCCCTTCTCATTACAGAGATGCACATCACCTAATATGCTTAATTGGTAGTAGGCTTTCGAGCCTATACAGCTTGGAGTAAGACAACATGCATAAAGAGGATGATGTGGTCAAAATACTCATTTGCCTAATAATTCTGCACTCCCTGTATATATATATATATATATATATATATATATATATATATATATATATATATATATATATATATATATATATATATATATATATCTTCATTTATTTATCCCCGCCTTTAAAAATAAATAAAGGGTTTTTAAAAAAATTAAAAAATCAGATCTTCAGAGAAAATGTCTTTATTAACAGTAGTATTCCTAACAAATTCTATAGAAGCACTACAATCCTATTAAGACACTTCCCAAGCGTATTATAACAATTATGACATTGTAATATCATTTAAAAACGGCACTATAGAAAATGTTTGCCATTTTTCTAAAATCCGTGTGTTTTCTTCCTTTTTAACTTTCATGTATGCCAGCACCCACATCCAAGAAAAAGACGTGGAACTGGGTCTCCTACCTGGAGGAGGAGAAGATGCCAGCTGCTTCACTCAAACTTTTTAGAGAGGTATTTGATATTACTGGTAATAAGTGTTCATTTCTCCTAAGCTAGTCTCTAATTTTTTATTCTCAGGTTAAAATGATTCTGTATAATGCAGTTTTTCCTTGTAAATCACCCCACAGTCAGAGATTCCATGGTGTCCCATTGTTTACCTATTATTCAACGGTCCTTCTCTTTCCAGCACCAGTCTTTTCCTCAGTCACGAAATTGTTTTAAGGTTGGAATGAAGGTTGAGGGAATAGACCCTGAACATCCATCCTTGTACTGTGTTCTTACAGTTGTGGAGGTAAGTGTATTAATGACATTCAAAATGTCCTAATAACTGCTGGTACACAAAAAGTATATGCAGGTTTAGAATTAGAACAGTAGCTGTGGGTTGAGAGGGGGGAAAAAATACAAATCTCTGTCTGCTAGCCAATATCGGAGTGAGCAGGGAGGGAAAGAGCCAGGAACGGCTTAATAGGTCCTAAACAGTTAGTGCATTATCATGCCTTCGAGGACTAGTTCCCTAGTCAGCGGAGGTTTTGGCTTTTAGGTTAGGGATATCTTTATAAGAAGAGACAAGCCACCTCGCTAAGATTTATTACTTTGTTTATTTTTACTTATTTATTTTTTCTTCTTGTTTATTATTTGCTATTGGTGTCACTGAGGGTGTTGGGAGTAGGGCTTCCTCTTTCCGTTTGGAAGTCCTCTTGTGGGTACGTGGGAGGTATTTTGGAGCCTTATATTTTTTAAGGGTGCCCTCGAAGTCACGATGGGGCACTAGCTCTTTCGGACCTATTAACCCATTTCTGGCTCTTTCCCCCTGCTTACTCCGATATTGGCTAGCAGACAGACAGATTTGGATTTTTGCCTGCCCCCTTTTTTTTTTTTTCTCTCAATCCACAGCCACTGTTCTAATTCTAAACCTGCATATACTTTTTGTGTACCAGCAGTTATTAGGACATTTTGATTATAAAAATTTTCACATTCCTGATTTTGGTTTTTAAGAGAATTGATTAAAAGTGATGTTTTAATATCAGTATTATTATATATTTGAGTTGCTCTCTTTTTCTTAGAAGATAGACGTGAGAGGTCTCTATATAATTTTTTACCTTTTGGTCTTACCTCTAGTCACTATATATTCTCGTTCGTATGTATAGGGGTTATCCCCCATTCTTGTGAGCAACCTTACACTCTCTCCTTGCTTGAGTTAATTTCAATTTGTCCCCCTGACTTAATGCCTAAAAAGGCAATGGTCAGTTTAATGTAGGAGAGTTTGGGTTTGCGTTTGCATTAATACATACTTTGTGCCTACATTTTGAGTATCTATGAATGCTCTTTTGATATTATTTGCCGATATGATTTCAGTTTGTGAATGTAGAGGCATGAATTGATATATTCTTATTTAATAATGTTGCCTCTGGATAAGTTTATCCCAAAATATGTCAAATAAATAAATAAATAAATATATATATATATATATATATATAATTTTTATTTTTTAAGGTTCAAGGTTACCGACTGCGACTCCATTTTGATGGATATCCTGACTGCTATGATTTTTGGGTTAATGCTGATTCCCCTGATATCCATCCAGTGGGGTGGTGTGAGAAGACCGGTCACAAGCTTCTTCCTCCTAAAGGTGAGAAATTGCCGGAAAGCTTATGCTCCATATACTGCTTGCTGAATCGTTGACAAATATGTTTTGTGCCCCATTGCTTTCAGGTTACAAGGATGGTGAATTTAACTGGGCTTCGTTCCTCAAACAAAGTAAGGCACAGCCTGCACCGAAAACATTCTTTAAAAGTTACAATATGGTAAGAGACCGGAACTAATTTACAAGTTCATGCTCTTTTTACATTTTCTCTGCTGTTCTTTTGTATTTGTCTTTGTGTGTCTTTTTTTTGTTTTTTAGTAATGTAACCTATTTTCTGACAAGATATAGTGAATATCATCAACAAGTAAAACATGGTTACAATAACAGTTAGGATGTCTTGTTTCTGTATACGTTGTGCAAGACAGAATATAGTAAAAATGTGGTAAGGTCAGAAGAAAGATACCGCAGCACTAATGTATTTGTTGTGTAGAACAAATGGTCATTTTGGTAACAAAGAATCATAGATGTGTGTGGTGTTGGTTCTGGTATGTAAGATTACATGTTGGTTGTGGTTTTGTCAGTGTGGCACTTATTTTGGAGAAAAGCAACCCAGGGCTCCCATATTAGTGTGTATTTGGAGTATTTTTTGGATATGGAGTAGTTAATTTCCATGATTCTAATATTTTCCACCCTCTGAATCTATTCTCATATTGTATAGGGATTTGCCTGTTTTCAGTGGGCTGGAATGAGTTGGTCTGCTGTAGTATTATTATTACTATTATTATTATTATTATTTTATTATTCCCCTTAGCTAAGGTGAAAATTCACCTTATTTGCAGCGCCGCGTGGGTCCACTGACACTGGCCCCGCACCAATCTGCCTCCTTGGTGACATTATCAAAATAGGTAATTTTTAGCCAATTGGCTAAAATCTGCAAGGAGGTGAGGCCAAACACAGTTTTGGCCAATCAGCACCTTCTCATAGAGATACATTGAATCAATGCATCTCTGTGGGGAACAATTAGTGTCTCCATTCTTTGAAAAGGCAGTGTTTGCATGAAAATGCCTGAAGGGAATGATTATACTCACCAGAACAACTACATTAAGCTGTAGTTGTTCTGGTGACTATAGCGTACCTTTAAGGATGTTGAGTCTACAAAACCATCCAAATTGGAGTTTGTGCAAGGATTTCAAGTCTTTAGAAATTGTTGCAAAGAGCAGGGGGAAATTCAGTTCATATAAGAGTGTGAGAACAGTGGGCAAAAATATACTCAAGTATTTAATGGCCATATTAGCCCACAAGACGGGACAAGGGGCACCACTGTCCTGTGCTATTTGAGATTGTAATTGGATGGCAAAGTTGACATTGATTCACAATTTAGCTATGGGTTACAGGTAAATTACTTACAGCCAGCTCAACCAAAGTTTGAGGACCAAAGCCCATATGTTCTAGTGTTGCCCACATCAGGGAGCTGTCCACCCTGTTAAACGCCTTTATGGCTTCTATAGAGAGTAAGATGTAGGAAGTTTTGGAGAATAAATGACATTGATACATTTTTGTGGTATTATTTTTTGCTTCTCTACCTAGTATGAAGCCTGATTGGTCAGGGTGGACTAGCCCCGGAAGCAAAGGGCACAGTCTGGTGGCCAGGATTTTGATGAATAGTTTGATGTCTATTTTTTTTAAATGAGATTGGCCTTGTATTTCTCCCGTTATGAACTGTGGGTCTTCTCAACTCCTCTCTCTTTATGTCTTCTCAATAAAATGTATCTTTTCTCCAACTCACTACTCTTGCTTACCCAATTTATTTGTAAACATTCTTCTACCTGCAGCCTGTCACACCCTCTGGCTTTCGAGTGGGTATGAAATTGGAGGCTGTGGATCGAAAGAATCCAACCCTACTGTGTGTGGCAACCATTTCTGATATAGTGGAAAACAGACTCCTTATCCATTTTGACAGCTGGGACCACAGCTATGATTACTGGTAAAATACTTTCTGCTTGCAAGTTGACATGAAAGCAGTGGCAGAACTTCAGTCTTATCCATCACCTACTTGTAGAATTTTGCAATTTATACCCATCTTCTCAAAATGCCTGTTGGCAACCTATTTCACAATGTATTAAAGATTCTTTATTGTATTAAGAATGTGTGGATTTGTTTTCATAAGGTAATAAGAAGATAAGGGTGTTTCAAACAAACCAAATTCGTCCTAAATTAAATTTTTTAGGATACGTAAAAATGCTTGTCACTTGCACTTGTTTAAATAACTTTGACATACAGTATATTCGAGTATCCTGATTGAATTTAGACTGAATTAGACCACCCTTATTATGAGGACTCGTCACCTTCTTTTCACAGGTGTGATGCCAGCAGTCCGTATATCCGGCCTGTTGGGTATTGTCAAGATTCTGGGACAACTCTGACACCCCCACCAGGTAATCTAGGTCTGTTTGTCTGACTCTTTTTATTCATAACAAAGGTCTACGAATACCCCATTATTATATGTATGTTGTGGATATTATGGATCTTACTAGTAAAGTAGTGATTGGGCACCCAGGATGTATTTGTGGGTGATTAATAAAAAAAAAACCCCACTAACCGTTTCCTCACTAACAAGCTATTTGGGATTTTTCATACGTTCATGTTTCACAGGCATATATTTGGAAGTCATATAGGACCTATATTATATTAGGAAGGACATTTTTCTGTGTCCTTTTTGTTACTTTGTCAAAAAGCTATCAATATGCTCCTGTATAACCTAAAGTTAATCCACAAAAAGATATCAGAACCATATTCCTGAAATATTCTCACCACTACTCTTTCCCAGTTTTGAATAAAGAGATTTAACTGGCAACGAGCAGTGGTGGGAATATTTCAGGAACACATATTGTTCTGTTTTTGTTTTTTGTCTACATTACATGGATACATGCTGGTATGGCAAAGCTGCGTATTTGAAGATCTCTATTTGCCTTTAGTGAATTATTTGCCTTTGCTGAATTATCCCCCGCAGGCGATGATCTGATGATGGTTTTGAAGGACCTAATCGCTTTACCCTAATAATTATTGCCCTGTAGGCTTGTGTAAATGTCATTTCTTCAGCAGTCAATACAACTTAGTGAAAGCTTGTGCTGACAATAGATATGTATGCTAGGACTAGGTTATCAGCTGGTTGGTTAATTAACCTTTGCAAATGTTTTCAGAATATAAAGAACCAAATAGTTTCTCTTGGGAAAGCTATTTAGAGAAGACTGGAGCACAGGCAGCCCCAGCAAGAGCATTTAAACCAGTAAGTATAGTTATTTGTTCCCAAATCACATTCACTTTCCTTTAATTATTAACATCTTCCTCCAAATATTTGCATGAGCAAAAATTGCAGCGTCTTTTTACACGTTTCCATTTTGCTCAGACTCTCCTTTCATTTTTCATTAGCGCCCACCACATGGTTTCCAGCCTCAAATGAAATTAGAGGCAGTGGACCGAAGAAATCCTATGCTAATCAGAGTTTGCAGTATTATACAAAGAGAAGAGAACCGCATACAGGTGACTCGGGGGCATTGTAGCATTTCTAATGCTGGTTGGATATTTTGTACAATGTTAAAGAGTGATAAAAATAAATTGGCTAACCTAGAGCATGGTAAGGTGGAACGTGCTGCCATTTCTATCAGTTATACAAATGCCTATATTGGGGCAATGCAGCATTTCCTATATCATATATTAACATCTCTGTTCTTCCTCTTAGCTGCACTTTGATGGATGGAACTCGCTGTATGACTACTGGGTGGATGCTGACAGCCCTGATATTCACCCTGTGGGGTGGTGTGCAAAAACTGGACACCCTCTCCAGTTGCCTCCAGGTGAGCGAAAACACTTAATGTGAGCAAATGATCCATGTTGTAGTTCTCTGGCTGTCTTGGGGAGTTTGAGGGCCATATGCAGGTAACTTAAAGTGATCCTATCAATCACAGATTGTACAGACTTAAATATCACATTGAGGTGGGTATAGATCTAATTCTTTAATCTGCTGGAAAAGTCAATATATGTATAGATTGCATAGAGGTATAGAAAATATGTTTTCATTTTAATAAGTGTGAGAAGGGTTTAGGTGCACTAAATCTAGAACGTGTAACTATTATATGTTCCAACCCAAGGAATATTTGCCTTTTACTTTTCTTTTTATTAGGTACCACAGACACCACTTCAGTGCCAGGGCAGGGCTGTCCCATTGCTGGCTGCAAAGGAATTGGTCATGTGAGGGGACCAAGATATGGGACACACTATACGTATGTTTGGCTTTGATGTCACATAGTTGGCCAGTTTATGCATTGTTATGACAATAACCACTTGTTTTTTTTTCATCTTTGTCATAGAGCTGTGGGATGTCCATATTCAGAGGTTAATCTGAATAGAGAGAGTCTCTTGCAGGATCGTCTTAGTGGAGAGCGGTCACCTATTACCCACAGCACCTCAAAATCCAGAAGACCAGGAACTCCTAATCCAACAACAGAAAACCTACCTGAGCACAACACATCCAAGTAATTCAGTAGATCTACCAGAATTTCATACATAATACGTCCCTACTATTTACACAATATCATTATAATACTGAAATAAGAAATATGAAATAGAAATGTTTTCTCGTTGATGCTTCCTTCTACCCCTTCTGACTATGTCTTTGCTTTTCAGAAAATCTCCATCTTCTACAGAAGAACGATGGGGACAGGCTAACGTGTGGGAGATGGCAGAGTGGTTAGAGGAAGAGGTGGAAACTAAACCTGCCAAAAGGTGAGTCCCTTTTTCTGTATTCTCCTATTATATGTTGACATTGCCCTTTGTCACAGCAGATAATGTGATCTATTGAATTCATGATAACCTGAAAGATAGAGTATAACTTTACATCCTAGAAGTTATGGGAACATTTAAGGCTGCCATGGGTACAGACTGTCAGTCCAACTATTGTTTTAAAGGAACACACTCCATTGAATATTTTTGTAACAATTTGGTGCTCTACCCCCAATGGAAACCGGTATTTATTTATTTATGCTTGTTTTCTTTGGGAGTATATCTAAAACCAGCATAAAAAAGCTCCAGATCTCGTCTGTAGTCTTTGCAAACACTCCCCCTTTTCCCCAGTCTAGACTATCAGTCTGTACTGGGGGAATGCTCCAATTAGGCTTTTTTAGACAATATGCCTACCACTTACATTGGCTGTGTGGATTCATAAAATGACTTGAGAAACATGTATGTTGGGGAGCTATTGATTGGCTTAGAGCATCACCTGACGCTCTCAGACAATCAGCAGCACCCATATGGAGGCAGCCCGAGGCTGCCTGTTTGAAGAATCTGAGAGATGCAGGACCGGGACAGCGCTAGAGAGAGCTGGAGAGAAGGTCTTGGGGTTAACCAATTGTGAACGGTTTAACCCTTAAAGGTAAGCCAGCACCAGGGAACTCCTGGCACCGTAAATTCCATTTTAGTTCTTATGGTTACTAGAGGGCTTATTTGAAAGCTCATATTTTAGTTTCTATTATCCCTGTCTCCTGCTGAGAGCAATTAGTCATTTTTCTGTGGATGTTGCACATGCAGTAAGACACACCTCTCCTGCATACTCCTTTTTTGGAAGCAGAGACTTTCTTTCCATAACTGGTTAAGTTGCCAACACTTTGCTGGCTTAATTTTATCTAAATACCTTATTTGCTCTCTCTCCATTCTAAGATCACCTGTCCAAAGCTCCTACAACAAGTAGTTCTGGCTATTGCTCTGACACACATGCAGTTACACCAATACAAACACTATCGCAGAATCAGATACACAGAAACACATCAGCAAATACTGCCATGCATCTAGATATACACACTGCCTTACTTGCAGATAAAGTGTTTGCTGATGTGTGTCTGTGTATCTGCATGTGTGGGTCTGTATGTGTTTGTATCTGTGTTTTGTGTGTCTGTATATGTATGTCAGTATATGTATATGTGTGTGTGTCAGTATTTGTATCTCTATATTAGCATGTGTCTATGTATCTGCACTGTATATACTAATATGCCTGGGGCAGAGGAGACACAAAGGGATCCTGGAGAAGCAGGGAGAGCCTAATGCAGAGAAAAATGGGAGATGGGACAAAAATGTATACATGTTGAAATGGTAGCAACTGTATTATTTACAAACATTTTGCGAATATGAGGGGTACAATTTATGGAAATGGGTGACCAAGAGGTACACAAATAAAAAAAAAAAAAGGTTTGGAACAACTGTATTAGTGGTTGTCTCCTCCCCCCATGAAAAAACAATATATTACATACTATTTTTATCTAATGGTGGATTATCTCTTAAACAAAAAACCCTCTTTACAGAGGTGATGGGTGAAACTATTCAGTGCCTAAAATACAAAGCAGCTCAAACACATAAAGTGGAAAACCCTTATTTCCACAATAAATTAACAATATATAGAAATGTAGTGTAAAATACACCACCTAGTGAAGCGCTAATACAAATATAAGTGGTAGAGGGGTTCATTTACCCCAACAATTTTGTGTTGTCTTAAATTCAGGAATATGCTTTTAAACATACAATGAAGGGAAAAAAAGAGATAAAAAAAAAACATATAGTGTAGATGGTTTTGGTGAAAATAAGTGATGAAAGTAAAAAACTAAAACCACTCACATGATCTGGCGCCTATATAATATTGGCTCCGTACGTAAGCCTATGTGCTCTTTGGGCAGCAACACACCCCTTCCTCTCAGATGTACCTCCACAACGACAAGGAAACAAAAGGAGAAAGAGACCCAATGTGTGGTATATGTGCAAACAGCCAGATAATATATAGGTGATAAATGTTATGCTCCCCTAGTTGAAAACCTTAAAATCCTGGCTATGAGGGTGGTCAGCAATGTGCCAGTATGAAGGGATGGCACTTCCCTGTAAAGATTCCCAGAGGCTCCAAGGACTTCAATGGATAAAGAAAATGTATTTATTCCAAATAAAAAGTAAATATAAAACCAGAAATTTGGAGTATTAAAATTGTAAATGAAAGTCCAAATCTGCCAAAACGCGTTTCACTCGTCTTTGAGCTTCCTCAGTCAGCTGTGATGTTATCACAGCTGACTGAGGAAGCTCACAGACAAGTGAAACAACTTAAACAGAAGTTAAAAGAAGAACTTTTAAAGTACAAGAACGAATTGGTCAGGTTTAAGCGATAAAAAATTTGAGAGAGTTCAACTAGATTAACACAGAGTGTACAAATGGCTGACCGGAGACCACGCAAACGGATACAACGCCCTAAGGTAACAACTATAGATATCACTTCAGGCAAATCGGCCTCTGAGAATGATAGACACCAAGATACCCCCTTTTTTCTGTAGAGAATACGGGTACCATCACCCGAAGCCGAACAGTAGGTCAAGAAGGAGCAGAACACGACTCGGGCACAAGGGCAAGAACTGGTCCTTTGGGCAAACCACCCCACAGGAAGTAGTCCCTATTTTCAATCTCTCACACAGAAAATTGGAGCAACATGAAATGGAAATTTTGAGTCGTGGTCTGTCATTTGTCCTAACGTCATATCCTAATCAATTTTTGTGGAACTTTTTAAAGGAACACTATAGTCACCTAAATTACTTAAGCTAAATAAAGCAGTTTTAGTGTATAGATCATTCCCCTGCAATTTCACTGCTCAATTCAATGTCATTTAGAAGTTAAATCGCGTTGTTTCTGTTTATGCAGCCCTGGCCATGATTGACAAAGCCTGCATGAAAAAAAAAAAAAAACTGGTTTCACTTTCAAACAGATGTCATTTACCTTAAATAATTGTATCTCACTCTCTAAATTGAACTTTAATCACATACAGGAAGCTCTTGCAGGGTCTAGCAAGCTATTAACATAGCAGGGGATAAGAAAATCTTAATTAAACAGAACTTGCAATAAAGAAAGCCTAAATAGGGCTCTCTTTAAAGGAAGTGTTTATGCAAGGCTGTGCAAGTCACATGCAGGGAGGTGTGACTAGGGTTCATAAACAAAGGGATTTAACTCCTAAATGGCAGAGGATTGAGCAGTGAGGCTGCAGGGGCATGTTCTATACACCAAAACTGCTTAATTAAGCTAAAGTTGTTCAGGTGACTATAGTGTCCCTTTAAGTTCGGCAGAACTATGCGTTTAAAAGAGTATTTTAATCGCTCAGGAACAAATAAAACACAATCAGCTATACAAGCAGCAGATCAGTTCAAGTGTAAATCTACTTTGATCCCCAGTCGAATCCAGCTTCAATCAAGACATACCTAGCAACTACAAATAAAGTTACTCAAAATATTCTTTCACAACACTGTAACAAACCGCAGAATATCACTTAACTTAAAGAAAGTTTATCACGCAGCTGGCGGATGACCCCACCATAGTCATTAGGTCAGCGGACAAAGGTGGGGATATAGTGATTATGCATTATCAGTACTACTCAGAGGAACTACAGACACAACTCTCAGATCAAAATACATACAAATTGTTATCAAGTGACCCTACAAAAGAGATACAGTCTAAAATAGAAGACATTCTTTCCATGGCTCTCATGGCAGGTTATATTGACATTCAACTTTATCAATTCCTCTACATACTTCATCCACGCATGCCAATCATTTACAGCATCCCTAAGATACACAAACATGCCGAGAAACCACCAGGGCGTCCTATAGTATCCGCTGTGGACGGTATCCTCAAACCAATTTCGAAATGGTTGGAAAAAGGGCCAGTAGAAGAACTCCACACCTGGCCAAAATTGGTGTTCAAATTAGTTTTTTGCATTTTTCACACACAAATATTAACACTAATTTTGGCAAGTGTTTGTGACCAAGTGGCTACTAAAAAAGACTGGACATACCCCATTTGCAATACCTTGGGTTGTCTATTTTTGGAAATGGTATGCCATCATGGGGGTAATTCTCATTCCTGGGCTACCATACGGTCTCAAAGGCAACGTAACCAATCTGGCGAATTTCGAATTTCAATGTGAAAAAAATTAAAAATGTAACATGCTATATTTGACCGTAACTTCCCAAAACACCATAAAATTTGTATATAGGGGTACTGTTTTACACATGAGACATCGCTGAATACAAATATGTGTAATTTATTGCAGTAAAACTAAACCGCATTATGACATTCACAAGTATGTATAGAAAAAAAGCAAATACACTCACCCACCCGTGAACAAAGTGATCTGTGTAAAATATATCAAAAACAAACTTAACTTATAGGTACACTGCTTCCCAAGGTTATTTCCCAGCTGATAACTATATAACAAAACCGTGTAAATGATAGGATATTTAGGGATTCTGCTAGTGGGATAAGTTCACAGGTAGAATGTCACGTAGAACTAAGGGGTGATGGTGACAGGGAGAGGGGGGGTGATGATGAGGAGGGTAAAGGGGGTTGATGGTGAGGGGGTAATGCTGAGGGAGGTGAGTTGATGGTGAGGGTGGGGTGAGAGGGAGAGGGGGGAGATATACCTTGGCTCCCTGGTGGTCTGGTGGCCATCATTTCCGGTCTGCAGCACCGCAGAGCTGCAGACCATGAATCTCGCGGCAACGCTCTGATTGGCCAGTTCTCGGCGAGACACATGGTCTGCAGCTCTGCTCACTGCGGAGCTGCAGACCGGTGTCTGATGGCTTGCCGGGCAGACAGGAGTGGCCTAGCACCCGGCGGGATATTGGGCAAGCCTCCGAGCCCCTTCCTGGTGTTGGGTCCTCGGTCACTGACCGAGGACCAGACACAGTCTGCCCTCAGGCGGTTTAGGTGGCGGTGAGGCCCCAGCCCGCGCGAGGACTTAGGCGGCCTCCTAAACCACCTAATTAGAGAGCCGCCTCTGTAGAAGACATCTGGAGAGCAACAAGCATCAATTAGGCCAGTATTATAAGAAGTACCTATAGAATCATATCATAGGACTTTAATGTCTCTTTTTTATTATTATATTACATTTTGAATATAATACGAATTACTCCATTCTGCTCCACAAATCGTTATTGTATATTATAATAAGTGCCATTGTTTGTTCTAGGGGTGCTCATACATATATCCGCTTGCAGCTTGTGAAACAGGAAACTGATGGGACAGGTATGAAGTAACTTTCCAGCCAGTGCCATCTTCAGTTCTTCCCTGAAAATCAACATTTTATGTTTCATTTTTGTTTGGTTACTGCTTCTGTATATTAACCAGATCTGTTTTTGAGTGAACTAATCTGTCCTGCAAGGATGATGTAAACTTACTGGATTGTGTAATTAGTTCTTATAATAGTTTATATTATTACCCTCAGACTCTGATGTCCGTTTGGAACAGGCCCTTCACCAGTCAGTGTTTATGACTTCCTTGTCCCCTGATCCTGGCCATCGAGTCCACCTTTGTTGGGAACAGCAGTGCCACCTGCTTCCTGAAGTATCATCCTATACAGCTCATATGGTCAGCAAGTGGAGTGCTGAAGAGGTAGATAAAGCTGACTACTGTCATACTTTACAATTTAGACTACCTCTCTTTGCTTACTATATTTTTCTCTATATTCCTTTGTAAGGTATCTCAGTTTGTGCAACAACTCCCAGGTTGTGGTGAACAAGCTGCTGTTTTCAGAGAAGAGGTAAGACAGTTTGTGTAAAGCACTTGACAATTCAAGTTCATATTCAAATTCAAGCACATTGGTTTATTTATCTTTCCTTTTGTTGAAACATGTAACATTTCACTGCTAGTTTTCCCCCTCCCCCCACTCCCCCTTATTATTGTCCTCATGTTCTCTCTGCTTCTTCTGCCTTCAGCAAATAGACGGGGAAGCTTTCTTGTTGCTGACACAGAATGACCTTGTGAAGATTTTGGGCCTAAAATTGGGACCGGCAGTTAAAATCTACAACTCTATTCTCATGTTCCACAATTTAGCACAGGACTGATGGTCAGCTTCTTGAAGAGAAAAAGGGTGGAAGAAAATAAGCTTAATGAAAATACAGCTCACACTGTAATACTGAAAAACATCAGAGACTAAGTTTTAAAGCAAGAACTATTCTACATTTTGACTTGGAGACAAACTTTATGAGGATAATTTTAGATACATACATATGTATGTATGCGTAGTACATAACCGGTAAAACATGGAAAGGTTTTCATGTGTTTGTTTGCCTAACTTGTGGTGCCTTATTGCTTTTTATTCCTTGGGATTCTAACTTTGGGATACGCTAAAGAACATTATTCTTTTGTTTCCTTACAGGAAAGACAAAACTATTTTATTTGTTCACATCAACCTGTGATGGAATATTAGTGCATCGCCACTAATTATGTTATCTGCATAGATTAAATGTTTGACAGATATGTTTGCACTGTTTTTACTCCAGTTTCCTCTTATTTGTTCATTCTTTCTCCCCCATTTTACCTTTCCCTTGAATTTAGTTTGGTCCACTTTTCCACCTAAACTTTTTCTTTTATGTTCATTTATTTTTTATTTATTTTAAACTGGCTCTGGCATAGCATTATGTGATATTGCTCAGTGGTGGCAACTAATGAATTTGACCTACAGAAATCGTATGATGAAACAAAAATATTATAATTTTCACTTGGTATGTGCTATAGCATTCTAGATAGTCAAAACCACAAATTCTAAAATTCATACTAGAGATGGGGGATTATTTATCCCATTTTCTTACATTGTAATCCATCACGGATGACTTGGTGATACTTTATAGCAATATAATATATGCATTGTACTGATCTATGTTGAAATGAGTTTATTCATTGGTGAAAATGTAAATCAGAACTTTTTTTTTTTTTTAGTAAGAACATGTTGTAGTTTCTTTGTAACCGCTTTCTTTGTTGCATTTCTAATGTGCCTTATATCCTGATAGGAGCACTCTGATGTAAACAGAGACTGGAGAGTTTCCTGAGCACAGTCTGTGGGCTAGGCTGTGTATTGCTCTCTAAGCAATGACAACAAGGAATTAAGGCCCTATCATGCTCCAGATTAGAGGGTGACAAAGGGAAGAATTTAGATGTAATACCCCCTCTATAAAAAGAAATGTGTAGACAGGATTTTACTACAGAACAGAAACATGGGAGCGATACAAATGAGATTAAATAAACAGACATCGGGTAGAAGAAATTGAGGCTAAATAGGTGAGGAGAATAGAAAAACAGGTTAAGAAGTAAGGGAAAAAACAAAATATAGACGAGGAAGAGATGGTGAGGCTAAAAATTGGAGATTCCAGTGTGAATAAAAATTCATAAGATTCAAATAAGGAGACTGAGATGGAGTAGCACATAGTGTCCAGGAAATTGGGAGCAGAGAAAGGAAAACAGGAGTAGGAGCAAAAAAGAATGAGACACTAGGGGATGTAGTAAGAGTGGCTTTGTGACCTCAAACGTACCTTTCTCCTATTGTTTCGTCTTCACTCTCTTTTTTTTGGAATCTGTACTTCATTTCTGATCTATTTCTCTTTAAAATATAAATCAAAGTAAAGACTAGATTAGTCTAAGGCAAAGGAAACTAAAAACAATAAGGATTAAGCTACCTCCCTCCTAAACTCGGCAGGGTTATCCCACAGCACGGGGGCCGGGGCAAGGGGAAGGTTACTGAGCTTCAGAGTGTGAGCCCAGGTCGTTGCCCAATAGCACGTCGGAAGGTAGGTTGTTCATGAGCCCGACTTCCACCACCCGGTTCCCGGTGCCCCACTCGATTATGTACCTGGAATGTAGGTAGGCGGTGAACCGCTCCCCCTTCTACCCGGACAGCAACACTTGCTCCGGTCTTGTCCTTCTCTGCGACAAGCTGGTGCTGTATGAGGGTCAACGTGGCTCCTGAGTCTCGCAGGCCCTGTGCGAGGCGCGTGTTCTGCTGGACTGGCTGCTGGTGATGGTCCCGGCTATCTGTGGCCACCTGTATGGGATCGACTTCATGCCGGAGATCCAGGCTTCTTCGTTTTGGTTAGGAGCATACGTGGGGGGTGCCTGGTAACAGTGGGCAGCGGCTCGTGGGCAGATCCACGCGTACTAGTCCCTCAGCTGGGGCTACTCCCTCTTGTAATGACCCCACTGGGAACATTTGTGACACTAAATGTCTCCCTGGCCTTGTGTCCTCTGGGCTGGGGTGGCTGCAGGTGAGGTAAACTGGGCTGCTCGTCAGTTTTTTTGGACTGCTTCGGTCAGGGTCGTGGGCTGGCGGTCTCTTACCCAGTCCTGTATCTCTGTGGGTAGCCCATTGTAGAAATGTTCCAACAGGAACAGCTGGAGGACCGCCTCTGGGTCTGGGCTCTTGGCATGCTGGGACTGCATCCAGCTTTGGGCTGTCTTGCTTAGACAACAAGCCCACTCAGTGTGGGAGTCCTGGGACCCCTTTTTCAACTCCCGTAATATTCTGCGATAGGCCTCTGGGGTGATGGCATACCTGGTGAACAGGACCTGCTTCACAGCGGTATAGTTCCACAGGTCATCCTCGGGCCCGGCCCGGTAAGCTTTGGCAGCCTTCCCCGTTTGGTTCCCTGCCAGAATGGGAACCCAGTCAACTGGGGAAATTGTATGCAGCAGGCAAGGGCGCTTAAAGTCCTGCAAGAAGTCATCAATGTCTTCTTCAGTCTCCACAAACTACTTGAAAGCCTGGGAGGGTATTTTGGGCTTGGGTTCTGGGGCGGGCTGACACAGCCCCAGCCTGCTATTATTTTTTTTCTTTTAGTTATTCCAATATTGATTAGACATTACATTTATCCTTTGTGGTTTTCTTTGAATAGAGTTTTTGACAAGGAGTTGCAAAGCTACCCATATCCTGTTGAAATTTGTATTTTTAAAGTTATATGCAGTGGTCCCCAACTTAGTCCTCATGGAGGATCCAGGATTTACGTATTTCCCTTTTTTATTCCAATTAAGATTACAAAGTATGGACCACTAACAGTCCAGGAGGACTGGGTTGAGAACCCAAAATGGATTTTTAAAAAAAATATTTTACAAATGACACCATATGATGGTCACAATTTTCCAAGTGCTCCTTTACTTGAACATATAACAAACTGTCATTATGATTTGTTATTACCAAATCCAGACAAGCATCCAATCTATGTGGTGGGAACAGCAGATCTCCCTCATCAGTTTCCAAGCCATATTCATGGCAGCATCAGTATGTGTATATCCACACCTCTAAAAACCAATTGGACAGATAATAAATAACAAATTAATACATAAGATCCTCCTTTCTCTCCTCCGCTGTATTTTTTTCCTGTCCACACTCCCGGGACAGGTAGCTCTATGCTAATCAATCCTTTTTTGGCTTTGGGGGTGTCTAGTTTTATTGACTCTCTATTGCAGTAGCTTGGATCCCTCTATCCCCTTCTCAGGATTGGATTTTGTATGAGGGCAACAGTTTAAAGGACAACTATAGGCACCCAGACCACTTCAGCTCAATTAAGTGGTCTGCGTGCCAGTTTTAACCCTGCAGCTGAAAACATAGCAGTTACAGAGAAACTATGTTTTTACTGAGGGTTAATCCAGCATTTAGTGGCTGTCTCACTGACTGCCACTAGAGGCCGCTTCCGCAATTCTCCCTGTGAAAATCACAGTGAGAAGACGCTGGATGTACATTGAGTAATGTTTTTCCTATGGGCGGTTTGAATGCGCGCGCACATGCACATTCGTCGGCAGGAGGTGGAGAGTTCCCCAGCGCCGAGGGAGCCCGGCGGTGGAGAAAGATAAGTGAGGGTGGGGGGGAACCAAAGGACTACATAGTGCCTGAAAAACAAGTTTGTTTTCCTGGCACTGTAGTGCTCCTTTAAGGCATTGACCCTTGTTTTAGACTTTCTCTCTGGTTTCTGGTGCTCGTCTTCTGTTATACTTCTTCTTTGGCGGTTCACATTTTTACGCTACTGCCAAAGGAGCAAAAACTAGTTGGTTGGAGTCCATTTTATGTTCTCTCTTTCTCTGGTCCTATTGTGCATGCACGCTTGGGCCAACTAATTCATATTTTTAAAATTGCTAGACAAGAAACTGCAAGTAAGAGAAATTAAATGAGCTCCCAGGTAGATTCTGTGTATGCAACAACAGAAAGAGACGGACCATGTTAAGCTAACATGAGGCTCACATCTTATAAAATACAAATCTTAAATCATGAAAAAAATAAAATGAGTAACTTATAGGAGTGTACAAGCTTGCTGATAAGTATTGTCAAGCATTTAGCCAATGCCACAGTTAGTCCTTATCTGGGAGCTGGCTCTGAATCCACTCAGGAACTGCTGAATAACAGGGAATAATGCTGCCTCTGTACCATCCCTGCAGGATGGGACACACCAGTCTGCGAAGATTGGCACCCCACTGCTCCACTTTCCAAGCCCAAGTCAGCATACGAGCCCGTACTGAAAGCCCACTTAACCTTCCATAGCCTGTGGCTGGCTCATAGTCCTGTGGGACTCCATATAGGTAGTCCTTTGAGGTTTTGGGCAGCTGATGGATAAAATGTCCATCTTGGCACTTGACCAAGGGGGGGAGCGATATGCTGGGACTTCACCGTGGGTCAAAAGGGCAGCAGGCAGGGTGAGTTTAGCTTCTCTATCATGAGACTCATTATTATAAGTACAGAGCCAGGGTACTGCACAAGCTGCTTCATAGGCTGTCTGGGATGTAGCTTCCCATCTTCTTGCTGATCTCTCTGCTATTATTTTGTTCGCCATTATGGCAGTGCCACAGCTTTAGATTGGATGGATGATGTGCCTCATAAACAGTGGTAACTGCTTCCCTGGTGAGGAATATCCCCCACCGGTTCAAATGGGGGGTGGGGGGGAGGGGAAGGAGGGAGGAACGGGCTGACTGCTGTAGAGGTCAAAAAGCACAAGTAGCTCCAAGCCAGGAGATTGGCCGTTTCTCCTATTCGCAAAGCACACCAGGCTGTGTAGGTCACAGACAGAGTTTTGTGCCACAAGTTAGAAAGTGAGACGTAAAATTTGCACAGATTAGCTCCCTTGCATGCTGGATTAGGTAAATAGTCGCTGGGATGAGGTTGGTGAATATTAATCCTCTTAAGAAACAAAATAATTGAGGATTATGTGGAGAGCACATGCTCTGCACGTCTGTCTGCCATGCTTGCCAGGCCCCTCCCCCCAAGTATTTCATTTTTGACATCACTTAAGGCCATAGCAGCTGTAAATTTTAAGTTTTCTGCTGAATTTGTATGATTTATTAAGTTGGACCTTTGTCACCAGGAGTTATTTTTCTCCTTGTGAATTTTCGTTTTCTTTCAATCCATTTTTCTGCTCCTTGAAGAAAAGGAGATAAAAGTCCATCCGATGCGAACGTGTGACAATAAACCTCTAGAAAGGAAGCATTTATGTTCCTCTTGTATCAAAGCTGCCATGGAGACAGCCTTCCATTCTCTGGATGTATTCAGCTTTATTAAAGAAGCTGTTTCTCGGGGGATCAGAGAAGCTGGTAATGCATGAGAAAAGCCCAAACCCAATGAGTCAACTCATTGCAGCTCTCAGAAGACCTCTAAGTCTGTAGGAGTCTCGAAAAGAGGAGCCTTCCTCTAACAGACATTTTCCAGATCTGCAAAGGAAGTGTTAGTGTGCTCATTTCCGATGAGTGGAAGATGTCAGAGAAAAAAAACTGCTATACAAGGGGAGTTTTCTCACTTTTATCCTGTTAAATCATTTGATTCAGTCTCATGTGATTTAATTTCTGAAGTTAGATTCAGCCATCTTTTGTTTAGTAAGGAAGACCGCTTTTAGGAAGGCTTTTCTCCTTCGAGAAGTGACCTCGTTGAGCTCCTTAATCAGAAAGATTTCTTTTAGAGATCAAGGCGCCTTTAGAGACAACCATTAGTACCACCCAGGGTGAGAACTGTCCAGATTTACAGGGTTGGCATCTTGAAAGTTATCTGTCAGGCCCAGTAATCCTAAGACTTCTTGTTCTTTTCGTTCTGGAAGACAGTCCTGATGGAGTTGCAGTCCAACTTGTGGTGGGTGCCAGGCTTCTTTTTTTGCCAAGATTTTGCTGCTGTCCGTATAAGACGCTGGTTTCCTGATCAACACTGTTCTTTTCTAGAGCTTCTACATCTAACTCCTTGAGGCAGATTTCTTTATACCTACGTTGATAACCTGGGCATAACACTGAAGTACAAATATAGAAAAAATTGAGAACTGGACTCACAAAGAACTGGACTCACAATGTTACCACTATAGATATTCAGGTCCTATGTTTAGCAAGAATTGAAAATAAAAAAGAAAACTTTTAGATGGCAATGAATTATGGTAGTGCCACAGATAAACATTTAATTGTGATAGTGTTACACACAGTGAAAAACAAAGGTGATTAAAAAGGGAACTGATTGCTTTCAAAGATGTACATAAGGTAGTGAAAACACTAGATATGTAATAGATTGTATCATGAAATGATTGTAACCAAAAGTTATCCACCTGGCTGTTTTATACAAAAACAGTGTTGCCAGGTTAAACAGTGTCACTTCATGGTATCTGTTTCCTTATGAATTCTAGGCTATATTAGGTGCACAGTAGATATAATAAATAGTAAACGAGAGCACTTAACCAGTTGTAAGCCAGATTATTAATCCATAAGTACTACATGACAAGAAGCCTCCTAAAAATACAATCTAGTATAATTTAGAATGAATGCGGGGGGGGGGAGGGGTAAAAAATATATACCAAATAATATAATATCACGGTAATACTGCATTTGTATCTAATATATAAGTGCCGCAGAAATAGACCGGAACCGGGAGGGGAATAGGGAGTAAAAAGGTCTAGTAGGTTTTTATCTCCACTTGATAAAGCCACTATAGGTGAAACGCGTTGTGGATATTTGATATATTTTACTCTCTATTCTAAATAAAGGTATTTTGGCTACTTTTAAATCACTCTGATTGTGCCATTTTACTCTCTTAAATTTTTTTTTATTATTTTTAAATTTTGCTTGGTATCTTGATTTTATCTCTCCTGCTATGTATTACTCCAAAAACATCCGAGGTGGGGATTATACCACTTATGCCTGAGTCATTGAGCAGGCATGCTCAATCCTATATGAGTACATATTTTATTATTTATACTTCTTATATGAATTTTTATACAGTGAGCACTATTAGTTGTCTCTCTTCTCCCTTATGATCTACATATCGGCTAAAGACTTAACCCTTTACACGCATCCTACAAGCGGGGATTATACCACTTGTAGGATGCGTGTAGAGGGTTATACTAGAGCTGGTTTAAGCTCTACTAAACGTGAGTAGGACTGTATTAGACTTAGACTCTGTTGTTATATACACTATCTTTACCAGACTTCCTGCCCTATCATCTGTCTTTCTATTCCATATAAGGAGTAAAAGACCAATACTTCTCTATGTATCCTATAAGCGGGGATTGTACCGCTGTATGCCATCCACACTAGAGCTAGTTCAGCTCTACTACACGTGAGTAGGATTACTATAGATCTCTTCTCCCTGCATATAAACCCTCGTATCAGACGTATTTGCACTATTGTTTGTTTCTTTCATTACATACGGATCCTGTAAAACCATCTTCAAGCAACCCTTAGAGAGAATATTCCTTCACATAGGCTGTCGTTGCCTCATCAGGCCCAACAAAAGACTTTGTTTTGGCACCACGTACATTTTGGACTTTATTCATTTCAGCTGCACTTTAGCCAGCTTTGGCACAACCTTCTTCTGTTTTGTCTTGTATATTACCTTTGTTTAGAGGGAACCCTATTTTTAGGTTGCTGCCTCTTACTCTATCTATTTATAGGATTGGTCCATTTTAGCGCTGCTTCCTTCTTTCTACATTTCTAGTAAAAAGGTCTAGCATGGGAAAATGCCCAATAACGTTGCTTGTTTGCTAGATAACCTGAACCAATCCACCTTACTGCTTTGTGGTAGTCCCCCTAATAGCAGTCTAGTATACAGCCGCCACAGTAATAGACAGGGAATAGGGAGTAATGAGGTCTTGTGTGGGAAAATGCCCAGTAACATTGCTTACGCTCGCTTGCTAAATAGCCTACACTGAAGTTCTGCAGACTTGAACTCTGCAAAAAAGATCTAAGAAGAGGTGACTTTGATAGACCCCCAAGACAAAGGGAATGCCGGTGGATATATAAACTCTAAAAACTAAGTCCAAAGGGACTTAATGAAGGCTTTTCATTTTCCTCTTTTATTTAGCCTATACTCTCTTTTTCCTTAAAGGACCACTGTAGGAAAATTCGTCAGTGAGACAGCCACTAGAGACTGGATTAACCCTAGTGTAAACATAGCAGTTTCTCTGAAACTGCTATGTTTACAGCTGCAGGGTTAACCCTAGATGGACCTGGCACCCAGACCACTTCATTGAGCTGAAGTGTTCTGGGTGCCTATAGTGGTCCTTTAATATAATTTTTACTTCGTATCAAATTTATTCTACACTGAACAAAATTATAAACACAACACTTTTTTGTTTTTGCCCCCACTTTTTATGAGCTGAACTAAAAGATCTAAGACTTTTTCTATGTACACAAAAGGCCATTTTCTCTCAAATATTGTTCACAAATCTGTCTAAATCTGTGTTAGTGAACACTTCTCCTTTGCCGAGACAATTATTATTATTATTTTATTTTTTTATAGCGCCATCAGATTCCGTAGCGCTGTATAAAGGGTGGAATAACAGACATTTAATAGTAACCGGACAACTCGATGTACATGAACAGAGAATTGGAGGGCCCTGCTCAATGAGCTTACATTCTAGAGGGAGTGGGGTATAGTGACACAAAGGGTAAAAGTAGGGGTACGAAGTAAGATGTTAGAAAGGTAATCGCTGAGGGCTTACTAGGTAATTTTTGACAGTTGCAGGAGAGGATTCATGGAGGGTGGGGGATGAAAACCTGCTAACAGTTTAATTGATATGCTTTCTTGAAGAAGTGAGTTTTCAATGATTTTTTTGAATGAGTGGAGACTGGGTGAAATTCTTATGGAGGAGGGAAGGGAGTTTCACAGAAGAGGTGCAGCCCTGGAAAAGTCTTGGATGCTTCGGAATTGCCAAATTTCCGAAGTGCCAAATTTCGTAGGTGCCAAACCGAATTGCCGAATTTCGGAAGTGTCGAAGTGCTTCGGATTTCTAAAAAGTGGCAAAACAGGAGAGGGAGGGAAAATTAAGGGAATGATGACCGGAATCTAACTTTAACCCAACATGTAAACCCCTATACCCACACCTAACCACAACCATACCCCTAACCCTATTAGGGTTAGGGAATTGCCAAAGACCTGAAGTGCTGAACCAAATCGAAGTGCCAGATTTAGAAGTACTGAACCGAAGTCCCGAATTTCGGACGTGCCAAACAGAACCAAATTTTTTGCCCATGTGCATCCCTACTTTTGTTTTTCACTGTGTGTAATACTATCACAATTAAGTGTTTATCTGTGGTTCATTTTTATTCGTTGTGGCACTTCTATACGTCATTGCAATCTAATAGTTTTCTTTTTTTCTATTTTTTTTTCTATTTTTGCTACACATAGGACCTGAATATCTATAGTGGTAACATTGTGAGTACTGGTACCAGTTCTTTGTTTGAGACCAGATCTAATTTTTTTCTACACTTAGGAAGAGTCATGTTAATCCCTCACAAAGTTTTATGTAGTTGGGAGCAGATCACAGCATTATCACTGCTACTTTGTCCCTGCCCAAGGAGACGGACCTCAGTCTGCAGAAAAAGATAAAGAATACACTCCTTTCGAGCAGTATGTCTATCAGGGTCTATTGGAACTGTTGAGTCTGGTAGGATCCCTTTCATCTTCTATCCTATTGACGAAAAGGGCTAAGTGGAACATGAGTGTACCGCAACAATGGTTACTGGACCTTTTTAATTGAAACTTGATGGTGTTTCACGTTCAGTAAAGTTCAGTAAAGTTAGCTCTCCAATGGTGACTTCGGGATTCCTATCTATGCACAGGTTATTCTTTTAAAGTATTATGGAAGATTATTATCTCGGATACTAGCCGGAGGAAATGGGTTTGGCACCCTGGCAGATTGCACACAGGTAGGAGGATGATTCTGTTGAACAGCTGCGAGCAGTCTGTTTAGCTCTTCATCACTTCAGCCATCTACTGGAAAATAAATGGATGAAGATAAGGGTAGGCAATATCTCGGTGGGCTCCTATCTAAATTATCATGAGGGATGAGAATGCCCATTCTCCATCCCCTTATGGCTTGATCATAGTTCATCTGGTGGGACTGACTGCCACTTATGTCCCATGTCAAGAAAAGACCACAGCAGATTTCCTCAGCAGAATGGACCTGGATCCAGGAGACTGGTCATTGTCAAAGGTAGTTTTCCTTCAGGTTTCCAATCATTGGAGAACTGCTCAGGTGAAATTGATGTTAACAACAAGCTGCAAACAAGTTCAGATTCCTGTCAAGAAAGTTTGAACCCTAGGCAGAGTGGACAGATGCCATGACCAGCCCTTTTCTGATTAGAATATGCCACCAGTCCCACTTATTTTTCCTTTATTCAGAAGCGTTCAGAAAGGGAAAGTGGGAGTTATTGCAACTATCCCATACTGAGTGAGGTGACCCTTGTTTTCTCTCCTGCTTTCCCTGTCACAAAGTCCACCGCTAGAATTGCCAAAGGAACCTCTTCTTCTGTCTCAAGGTCCTGTACTGCATCAAGATTCTCAATCTCCTCATGGCATGGCATGGAGCTTGGAAGGGCAAGGTTAGCAGAGAAAGGATTCTCATCCCATGTTTTCTCCAACGCTTACGGATTAGAATTCAATGATTATCCTCCAAGAAAATTTCCGTGTTCTGCAGTTTAATCTCCCAAAACAGCTCAATCTCACAAAAAACTCTTTTTGTCTAAGATTAGATGGCTGAATTTTAAGAAGTATAAAATGTTGGGGTCGTATCGGTTCATATGGAAGTCTTTCTTCCAACAGAAAAGAGAACAAATATCTTCAGGTCAATTATGGCTTTAGAGACAAAGAATGTCTGTGCCGTGAGAGAAGTGATATGGCTACATACCTCTACAA